ATGGGGAAGGTATGGTCTAACAACACGGTGGTGCCATGGGGAAGGTATGATCTAACAGCACGGTGGCGTCAAGGGGGAGGTATGGTCTAACAACACGGTGGTGCCAAGGGGAAGGTATGGTCTAACAACACGGTGGTGCCTTGGGAAAGGTATGGTCTAACAACACGGTGGTGACCTTGAGAAGATATTGTCTAACAATACGGTGGTGCCAAGGGGTAGGTATGGTCTAACAACACGGGGTTGCCAAGGGGTAGGTATGGTCTAACAACACGGTGGTGCCAAAGGGAAGGTATGGTCTAACAACACGGTGGTGCCTTTGGGAATGTATTGTCTAACAACACGGTGGTGCCCTGGGGAAGGTATTGTCTAACAACAAGGTGGTGCCCTGGGAAGATATTGTCTAACAATACGGTGGTGCCAAGGGGTAGGTATGGTCTAACAACACGGTGGTGCCTTGGGGAAGGTATTGTCTAACAACCGGGTGTTGCCCTGGGAAGATATTGTCTACCAATACGGTGGTGCCAAGGGGTAGGTATGGTCTAACAACACGGTGGTGCCTTGGGGAATGTATTGTCTAACAACACGGTGGTGCCCTGGGGAAGGTATTGTCTAACAACACGGTGGTGCCCTGGGGAAGGTATGGTCTAACACCATGGTGGTGCCTTAGGGAATGTATGGTCTAACAACACGGTGGTGCCCTGTGGAAGGTATGGTCTAACAACACGGTGGTGCCCAGGGGAAGGTATGGTCTAACAATACGTTGATGCCCAGGGGATGGTATGGTCTAACAACACGGTGGTGCCCTGGGGAAGGTATGGTCTAACAACACGGGGGTGCCCTGGGGAAGGTATGGTCTAACAACACGGGGGTGCCCAGGGGAAGGTATGGTCTAACAACACGGTGGTACCCAGGGGAAGGTATTATCTAACAACACAGTCGTGCCCTGGGGAAGGTATGGTCTTACAACACGTTGGTGCCATGGGGAAGGTATGGTCTAACAACACGGTGGTGCCTTGGGGAAGGTATCGTCTAACACCGTGGTGGTGCCCTTGGGAAGGAATGGTCTAACAACATGGTGGTGCCCTGGGGAAGGAATGGTCTAACAACATGGTGGTGCCCTGGGGAAGGTATGGTCTAACAACACAGTGCTTCCAATGGGAAGGTATGGTCTTACAACACGTTGGTGCCATGGGGAAGGTATGGTCTAACAACACGGTGGTGCCCTGGGGAAGGTATAGTCTAACAACACAGTGTTGCCAAGGGGTAGGTATGATCTAACAACACGGTGGTGCCATGGGGAAGGTATGGTCTAACAACACGGTGGTGCCCTTGGGAAGGTATGGTCTAACAACACGGGGGTGCCCTGGGGAAGGTATGGTCTAACAACACAGTGCTTCCAATGGGAAGGTATGGTCTAACAACACGGTGGTGCCAATGGGTAGGTATGGTCTAACAACACGGGGGTGCCAAGGGGTAGGTATGGTCTAACAACACGGTGGTGCCAAGGGGTAGGTATGATCTAACAACACGGTGGTGCCCTGGGGAAGGTATGGTCTAACAACACGGGGGTGCCCAGGGGAAGGTATGGTCTAACAACACGGTGTTTCCAAGAGGAAGGTATGGTCTAACAACACGGTGGTGCCAAGGAGAAGGTATGGTCTAACAACACGGGGGTGCCCTGGGGAAGGTATGGTCTAACATCACGGGGGTGCCCAGGGGAAGGTATGGTCTAACAACACGGTGGTGCCAAGGAGAAGGTATGGTCTAACAACACGGTGGTGCCAAGGGGAAGGTATTGTCTAACAACACGGGGGTGCCCTGGGGAAGGTATGGTCTAACACCATGGTGGTGTTCTGGGGAAGGTATGGTCTAACAACACGGTGGTGCCCTGGGGAAGGAATGGTCTAACAACATTAGCATCGGCTTAGTGGTAGTAAGAACACGTAACCAATACATAAGTTAGTGTACGTCCCATTCCTACCTTTATAAATAACCTCTTTTCAACGATATACGACCGTCTATACCGGCCACCAAGCAAAATATTAAATATTATGTTATGTTATATATCAATTGATATGCTATGTCATAATAACTACATCTTGATGATAACGATATAGCTAAGTCATAATTACGTGATTAACATGACGTTAAGAGATATTTTAAAAAAAAGGTCGTTATTTCGAGATGGTAAGTTGGTATTACGTCATACACTTCTGTAGTTATGGCGTAAGTATGAACAAGTCGATATTACGACATGGTAAGTTGTCTTTTTCGGTCTGTAACCCGTATAAACTTCCGTAACGTACGCCAAAATATTAAAGATTGTAAAATTTGGTTATTCTTAATAATAAAAATATAATAATTAAATGTTCTTAATTACCGTTTTATTACAACCTAGTTCGTTGGTCGCCTCACAGAGGTTCATAAATTATTATCCGTGGTTATAGGGCCTTTGCAACCAGCCAATACCTTTCTCTCTGGTGAGCATACAGCCGGAGCTGCCATTTCGGCGCTAACAGCTAGCATTCAACAATTCTAACACTGCCAAACCACGTACTCATTTACAGCCGAGTAGACTGGAACAAGCGGAGTAAAGAATCTTGCTCAAAGATACAACACAGTGCAGTGCCGTGACTCGAACCCGCAACCCTTGGGTCACGAGCCCGGCGTCCTACCACTAGACTACCGTGCCTCCTTTAATGAAAGCATCACTGACAAAGAAGTTGATTGCTCAACAGGACGCATTATTTAAGGGAAGCCTTATACTTTAAACGAGCTCTGCAAAATATGCGAAAAATACAATACAGGTATGTCAATAATGAGGAAAAAGGAAGAGGATACCGAAGTGTCAACAAAAACATACTTAGAATCGATAAACCATGGCAAAGGAAAGATTTACACGGAGGTCATTGGTAAAGTACAAGGAAATCTAAGTCAAATCCAAGTAATATCACGTCCTCCTCACATCGAGAACCCAAGCAATGATGTACATAAAAAACTCTAATAAATAGCGACCATAACACGTGTCCTTACCTTCATCAACCTTCATAATTGGAAACTCATGTTATAAGTGTGTCCGTCGGCAGTCGACATCTCTCACGGAAGTCATGATATTCGAAGCAATCTCTTAGTTCAAACCTTCTTTTATTCAAGTATTCCAATTATATATACTTGTAACATGTTGTAACAAAACAAAAGCAATCTCTTGAATACCGAATCAACTGCGGCATGTAAAACCCATAGGTTGGGAAAGCAGAGTGTTAATTACTATCAAGAGAGGGGAAGTTCACGATCGGAAAGTAAAAATCGTCCCGCTTATCATACAGCTAAATGTCGAGGAAAGCGTCTGAAGTAGAAGATTCTGTATGTAGTGTCCATGATTTCAAGATCTGGATGTTTTTTCCGACTGATTTGGTCATGCCTTTTCAATATTCAAAAGCAGCACATCGTCGATGTATCTGAGTGTGGAATCGAAAGACTTGACTATGTTAACCATTACAACCCTCCTAACAGTTACGAGCAAAATACCCGTACAGAAACAAAATATATAGTTGAGGCCTGAACAAGATATACATAGTATCTATGTTGAAAAAGGGGAAGAGGAAACAAGAAAGAGGGCGGAGTGGATTGGAGAGGGAGAGGGGGCTGGGGTCGGTCAAATCACATTGACTTGGCTTGTAAAAACAAATATCAAATACATACGAACACACAATGCTTTATGCTTGCTCGTATATATAGTTTATATATTTGTTACAAGCCGCTGTGGTCGAATGGAAAATGACCTTTATGATAGAAGAAGGGTAACTCTACATAGAAAGCAGTACGTTTGGCTATAACTTTACAACGATATATCAGACTTCTGGATTTTTTTCCCACATTTCCACGTCTGCCATGTGTCTTTTTGAGTTGTCTACTGGTTCCCTTACAGACATACGACACACTGTAAGTGGTGTTACGATCTTTAGTTGTCTACTGGCCTGGTTCCCTTACAGACATACAACACACTGTAAGTGGGGTTACGAACTTTAGTTGTATACTGGTTCCCTTACAGACATACGCCACACTGTAAGTGGTGTTACGCACTTTAGTTGTCTACTGGATCCCTTACAGAGATACGACACACTGTAAGTGGTGTTACGAACTTTAGTTGTCTATTGGCCTGGTTCCCTTACAGACATACGACACACTGTAAGTGGTGTTACGAACTTTAGTTGTCTACTGGCCTGGTTCCCTTACAGACATACGACCCACTGTAAGTGGTTGTCTACTGGTTCCCTTACAGATATACGACACACTGTAAGTGGTGCTACGAACTTTATTTGTAAGTTTCAACACTGCAATTGCTCTTTGGCGTTCTCCTGTTTTATGTTTGTTTCAGTGTGTATGTGGACAAAATTGACTATGACATAATTAGAGTGTTATACAAACCAGATGCTCCGGATGTTGGCTCATCATATATGAAAACTCCCGTTTAGCTCTGCCTCTGATAAATTGTCAATTATCACTTTGACCGGTTTAAATGTATTTTTTTTTTTTCGGAAACATCTTTAAAAGAAAAAAAACATTGAAGGTATCAATATATTGTTCACAAGTTCCGTCGCTGAAAAAAATATTAAAACTCTTTATAATTTGTTTTCATTGTCATTGTAATAATTGTAGCAAAACATTTGCTGGACACGCGTTTCTCGGTAAGTTTTAATTATAATATGAAATTAAAATGTATTTTTTAGATAAAACCAAAATGTAACTTAATCAAATTGTATCTTTGACGTCAGAAATTTGGAGCTTACTATATAAAATGCCGTGCATATTTGTTTTTTATAAAATGTAGGTGAAAAGCTCTGTCGGTAAATACATAAATCAGATAAATTATGATATATATATTTGCCGTGAATCAATGCGTTATTCAAACTATTATTATAAACTTATGAAGATTTTTAGCACAAAAGTGTTGTGCCACCTTCAGTTGTATTAGAGTTACATCCCTTGGTTAAGTTTATTTTGTTACATCCGGTTTCATATCAACATTTCAGCGACACGTTTTTTACGCTGATTCTTGTAGTTTATTGCAGTTAAATAAGTTGAAAGTGACTGAACTTCAACGTTTATATGTGAGACGCCCCGTGCATGCTACGACAGTCGTCAGAATGCTTCGGAACTACTCTTTACGACTGTGTCGAATTTCACCCGTTTGTCCTCTGGCTCGGGTCTCTGGAGCTGTGTCAGGTAAACAACTAGGAAGTCACAGATGTTTCCACCCACAAACACCATGTCGTGCCAAAGTATTGACAGTAGACAACATGAACCCTCATCTGAAGGCTATGGAATATGCTGTACGCGGTCCGATTGTCATTATGGCTGGCAAAATAGAAGAGGAACTGATTGCTGTGAGTATGATACAGGTCCAGTACAGATTGAGCTATATAGCTGTTAAGACCTATAATAGCTCTATTCGGCGCGTCTAATTACCCAATACTACCCAATACCACCCAATACTACCCAATACTACCCAATACCACCCAATACTACCCAATACCACCCAATACTACCCCATACGACCCAGTTATGAACCAAATACTTCTTTATTACTGTGAAATATCACCTTTGTAGACGTTATTTACTTCCATCTGCCATATTTTATCGGGAAATATGCGATTTGGTGCCGAAAACATCACCGAATTGCCGTGACTATGACCCAATACTACCCCATACCACCCAATACTACCCCATACGATCCAGTTATGAACCCAATACTTCTTTATTACTGTGAAATATCGCATTTCTTGAAGTTATTTACTTCTATATGTCACATCCTATCTGGACATATGCGATTTGGTGCAGAAAACATCACCGAAATGCCGTGACTAGGGGTTCGACGATTTACAGGAACGGGCAGGATCGGGCAGAAAACTATTAATTATTATATATACATTGATGAATATATATATTTAATTAGATACATTTAAGTATCATTATCGGGTATAAGATATATTTGATAAAAGAATTGCAATTACATGATACTATATTAATTCTATTCATGTCATAAAATGGTGTTATTAAGATCATATATATAAATTTAGCAGGAAATATTTAGAAAATTTTAAATTACTTTTCATAAATGTTAGTTATTCAATTTTGTTAAACATAACAGTATCAATTATATAACAATGCTGGAGAAGAACCTTCAGTTAAATTAGATACTCAAATACTACGAAATTCAAAAAGTATATGGATTGTATATGATTCGAAGTCCTTTCAATTACTTGATTAACTCACAGATAGTCTGTTTTGGACAAGCTAGATATTTTTTCCATATATAGTTCCCTGACCAATCTTATGAAGGGTAGACGAGTAGGTTGTCATTAAGTAATGTAAAAATTAAATAGATTAATAAAAGGAATTACGTTACGCTTCTTATACATCAATCCAGAGACGTATATATTACATTACGTAATATATACGTCTTTGATCATCCGAAAGCAAAATACTAAATGACATGAAAACTTGATTCGACTCCCAGAGATACTGTATACACATATACTTTATTCAACTCGTTGGCCATCTCAAGTAAATGTGATCTCTATAGATACATGGTAGATACCGTGATGTTGCAATTTTATTTAACATCTAAGTCCGTGATCTAAATCACAGTTACAGGTAAATATATATATTATAATTTAATTTTATAATGTCTTCCGAGGAATTACAAATTCCACTTGCAAACCACTTATATAATATGTACAGAAGACGTAGCAGTCTATGTGATTAGTTATAATTTTAAACAGTGTCTTGTAAGCCATTTTAGGCTGAACATCATATACAATTACATTTTCTATTTAATGCATTTGTTAAATATGATACCAGGTGTCAATCAGAAACATTTTTTTATGAAAATAATCTTCCGTTTAAATATAATTAGCTACTAGTTAGTGTGAATTTAGCAGACCTCGCTGGAAGGGGGCTCCCCAACCCTTGGAAATCTAAATTTCACTACAATGTAGAACTAGGAAATTATTCATTTTATTTATCACCATTGTTATTGTTTTTTTAAAGACATCATGTTTTAAGGCAGTAAATATAAAAGAAACCTTTTAACTATTATAGTATGTAATATGTAAGGACAAAATCCAGGAGTTTGTTAGGTAGGGGCTGTCCCAATCACCTGCTCTCTGGATTGGCACATGTGATAGTTTGTTTTAATTTATTAATGTATTATGTATAATAGCTGTTCTTAACAAAATTATGATATTATAAATTATGTAACTATATGTGTTTATACTGTGTAACTATATACTTGTACGATGTAATTGTGATATATGACACTATAATAAACAAAATTGACTTGACTTGACTTAACTATATATATATATATATATATAGAATATGCAATGAAGACGAAAACGGAGATAAATTTTGAATAGAATTGGCAAATAGAGGATTTCCCCCAAAATTACTTGTAGTCAACTAAATTAGAACAAATGTTTAAATAATTTTATTATGCAATGAACGTTATAAACGTATTGACGTACATGAACATTCTACGGATTTTTTTTTATTTATAACAACTATCGATATAATATGTATAAATATAGATTTGTTCCAATATATACTAAAGATACATGGTCGTGAAAAGTAAATCTACTCTTACTAAATACTCGTCAAATTTATTTAAACAAATTTAAGTCTTTAAAAACATCAAGTTATATGAATGCATAACCACGGACTTTATCTAATTCCGTGTACAATATCTAATTTTAAACATAAACTTAGTCCCGTGCAATTGAATAGATTCTTGATATATGAAATCCATTTAAAATCAGCGAAATCATTTTTATGTAAATTCAGCATAAGCTTGTACATTATACTAGACAATTTATTTTCACCTGTAATTAGTTTATACCAAAACATTATCATTCTAGATTTAATTTCAATATCCAGCGAGTACCTACCCGTTTCACCATATACCATTATATTTGCTGTGGAGCTACGTATGTTTAAAATTCTTTAACAAAACTGTACACGTAATTTCTCAATCATATTGGTATTTTCAAACCCCAAAATTACTTTTTGAAACGTATATAGATATTAAAGCATGAAGGATAAATATATTTTCAGTTGTAGAGTAGCCTTTCCTTAAACCAGCTTGAACATTGGAACAAGAAGTCTATTGTCTACTATTACGGAATTAGATAATCAGTTTTGACCACATCGGCCTTTGAAAAAAAATGAAACTTAAAGCGTTTCACCGTGTTTCTTTCTTCTTTACATATACAATTAATATACAGTATCGTTTTTCTATAACAGATAAGGCCTAACAATCCAACATATGGACTTCAATATTTATTTACGTAAAACACGTATTTCAATTAACTTATATTTACATATAGAATAATATTTAATTTTCAGATTGATGTCCCTTTTTTGAGTTGGAAAATTGCGTATTTTCTTTTTTTTAAGATCGTAGACGTGATGGGATTGTAATCTACACATTAACACCAATTAATTCACTCAAAATATATTCATGCTATTTATTAAGAGTTGAGTATAAGTTATGAAGTTATTAAAATTTAGTTATCATAATGTCATTTCCAATGTTTCAGGTGTTATGACATCGCAATAACAATGTCATATATATAAATGAGAAAATAACTCAGATACATATTTATTATATATGTAATATATAATTCTCTGAACAACCCTTTTTTATAGAATAAAACAGAGACATAAATTGGAACCTCGGCCTGGCAATTTATATATATATATATATATATATATTCCGATCCTGCCCCGTTCCTGTAATTGCAATTCTTTTATCAAATATACCTTATACCAGATAAGGATAATTAAATATATACAATAAATATATATAAATAAGTCCGATCCTGCCCCGTTTCTGTCCGTTCCTGTAAATCGTCGACCGTTCTTGCCCGATCCATATCAATACAATACTTTTTTTTAAATTCTTTGCAATCCTTTTATCAAATGACGTATCTTGTACCCGATAAAAAAGATATAATAATATAAATATAAATATAATTTAGTCCGATTCTGCCCCGAATGGCGATCATGTAATTGCAATCATTTTATCAAATATATCTTATACCCGATAATGATACTTTAATGTATCTAATCAGAGACGTATAAAGCCATAACTGTGTTATATACGTCTCTGATCTAATATATATATTCATTAATGTATAGGCCTATATAAAAATTAATAGATTTCTGCCCGTTCCTGTAAATCGTCGAACCCCTAGTCACGGCATTTCGGTGATGTTTTCTGCACCAAATCGCATATTTCCAGATAGAATGTGACATATAGAAGTAAATAACTGTGACATTTCACAGTAATAAAGAAGTATTTGGTTCATAACTTGGTCGTATGGGGTAGTATTGGGTGGTATTGGGTAGTATTGGGTGGTATGGGCACGGACTTAGATCTAATCTAATTCCGTGGTATGGGGTAGTATTGGGTCATAGTCACGGCAATTCGGTGATGTTTTCGGCACCAAATCGCATATTTCCCGATAAAATATGGCAGATGGAAGTAAATAACGTCTACAAAGGTGATATTTCACAGTAATAAAGAAGTATTTGGTTCATAACTGGATCGTATGGGGTAGTATTGGGTAGTATTGGGTGGTATTGGGTAGTATTGGGTAGTATTGGGTAATTAGACGCGCCCGCTCTATTGACCTATCTGAAATAAGTCTTTTGAGCTATTTTCAAGTGATTTTCTTTTTTAAGGAAAACGGAACAAAGTTGCATTTAAAAGAAGATTGTATCATTAGGTTCATAACAAAAGACATTAAATACAAGTATTCTTTAAAAAAAATAATGATATAAAGAAATCGGAAATTTTACATTTATGAAAATAAACATCTAAATGTATGCTTTTTGTAGTCAACATTACCATTAACCTTATTGTTTTATGCGACTTTAATGAAATTTGAAATCTGAGAAAATATAGCCCAATACAGCTATAATTTATAGGTGTATATATAGCTATATAGGTCTTCTACTTCTAAATGGTACTGACCAACTTCAACAATTTGAAGATAAAATGTCAGACGAGGAGTGAAACATGGAAAGAGATTGTTTTTAAAAGATACGGGATGGTCTAATTTGCGTTTGAAAGGTGACGGTAGAGGGCTGATTTGAATAATTCCGTTGTGGGGCTCGAAATAATGTCAGGTGGGAGTTTATTCCACTCGGGTATAGTTCGAGGGAAGAATGATGCCTTTCTGGTCTGGGTTTTTGAGTGGGGAATTTGATACGAAAACTGGTGGTTTGTTCGGGATTTTCTAACTGTAGGGATTAATCTGTCTGATTTTACGATAGCGACTTTCTGGTTTACAATGTAATGAAGCATGGTCAGACGAGCATCTCTACGTCTATCTGCTAGAGGGCGCAGCTTTAGGTGGTCCAACATTTCTGACACACTGGAGGTACGATGGTTGTACCTGTGCTTATTGAGCACATAGCGCGCTGCCCTTCGCTGGACCATTTCCAACTTGTCAATATTTGTTTGGGTGTGAGGGTCCCATACTGTACAGGCATACTCAAGTGATGGTCGAACTAATGATTTGTATGCCTGTACTTTGGCTGATGTTGAGCCAATTTTAAGATTTCGTCTTAAAAAGCCTAGCGTAGAATTTGCTTTTGGGCAGATAGTATTTATATGTGAATCCCATTTAAGGTCAGATGATAGTGTTACACCCAGATACTTGGCCTGACTAAGATGTTCCAGTATGTGTCCATGTAAAGTATAATTATGGACTATTGGAGTTTTTATAGCTCAATCGGCAGAGTGTGCTGGACCTGTGATAAACAGGTCTGCACAGATAATCTAATAATTCCGTGGTCACAGCGACACAACTACTAATAACATTGATCTTGTTAGGCTTTCAGTCAACCTCAGTAGTAAGTGCAAGCCCGTGTGATCTTATGGATAATATGAATAAGCATGATCAGATCCACAGATTTTATTCTGACTATAAGAATATATGTTTACATTTCCTCTGCTTTCAGCTCTGTTATATAAATAAAAGTAGGTTGATACCTTCAATAAGATTCATCAGTTTAGAAATATGTGATATCAAAGCTTTACTTTCTACACAAACAATGAACGTATTAAACATGTCACAATATTTCAAGACTGACCACAGGGGCACACAACTACTATTAATATTGATCTAAATGTCAAGACTTTCAGTCGCTGGCACTGGTATGTTGGGATATAATATACCCAGCGACTGAAAGTCTAACAAGATCAATATTAATAGTAGTTGCCTCATGATGTTCAGTGCATAGCGTGTCACGAGTGAGTTGTTTACAGTGGAACGTGTTGTTGATTAGTATATACATGTATAACCTTCAGTAAAACAAGAAAATCTCTATAATTAAAAAAAATAATGTTCTATAAGTCTTTATTTTAGACTATCTGAATATGAAAACTGCTGATCTGTTCCGAAAGATATGATTGTAACCTAACCATGACATACATGTATAAATAAAACTACTTTTAATGATAAGTGGAAGTTTTTCTCATACCTTTTCATTTGCTCTCTCATTTTCATTTAACATGTTTTTTCAATCAACCGTTGGGCTCTTGTTCATGTGTTGATGAGCCGTTATATTACATATTTTAAACCAGAATCTCATCTGAGGAAAGGCAGTAAATGTTGTCTGCTGTATCCCTTTGTCCAGTCCTCCTTGTTGAAGTTGTTGATTTTATTTACCAGGGTGTGAAGAAGCCTTTCCCAAATGTGATCAGAGCCAATATTGGGGATTGTCATGCCACAGGACAACCACCCATTACATTCCTCAGACAGGTTGGTATATAGCGGTGTAGTTTCTGACAGGTTGGTATATAGCGATGTAGTTTCTGACAGGTTGGTATACAGCGGTGTAGTTTCTGACAGGTTGGTATATAGCGGTGTAGTTTCTGTAGGAGTCACTGATGAGTGGTACTGATAACAGTCTCTGTGATATGCCTATAACCTTTATTACATTACACATGTATAACAGCATGATCTTAAAACTAAACCATTTGTAGTAAAAACCAGAAGGAGACATTAATCTGTAAACAAAAGACATTCTACATATTTTAATTGAATCTGTGTAAATGAAAAAACCTGAATAAAGAATATATGGAATGCTTTTGTCATTCATTGGAAATTTTCATGTTTAGTATTTTGTTAATGTGTTGATTATCATTATGTAACTATATTAGTGAACGTGTGATTATGACTACGAAGTACGAATGACTAGATATTAACTACTCGTCACTTGTATATTAATTACATGTAAGGAGAGGGCTTCCAATCACAAACACAGCTCATGATCAGGTATCGTTTGAGTGGGTATTTATTTGGTGGACTACTATATTAATTATAACTGGAAGATTGTTTTTCTGCAACATTCAATAGAGATTTGTTGTGGATGATAATTTTTGACACAATTCTGACAAATTATACCACTGTTGCAAATCACCTTGTTTCATAGCCACATTTGGCAAAGTCAGGTTTTGATAGGAGATTCTGTCATCAGGTGATAAGTGGTGAGAGACGTAATTCCAGCAGGTAAGGTCCATGGACAGAACGTCTGTTTTAGTCAGAGTATGGTTACGCACTGACTATTGTTTACATTTGGCCAGAAGTGTCTGTCACTGGTCAGGGATGTAAAGATCGGAATCATTTGGATTCAAAACAACACCACAAGTAGGCAATATTAGGAATGTAATCAGGTTGTCTCTATTTATCCCAGCTCTGGTATATATGTATGTCACTTCCAGCTAATAATTAAGATATATTTTAACGATGTAAAGAAATTTTGAGCAATTCCATGTTTGAATGCATGTTGTATATTTCTTAAATCAAATGACATTGAAATAAGTTCACAATATTTGAATTCATTGTATGTAAATAAGCTATAATAAATTGTAAATGTACACGAATATAATGTTTGATATTTATATGTTAATTGTTTTTGTTCAGTTTATAAATATTTACATATAATGATTACTGTATAAGTGTAATGTTAAAAACTCTAGCTATGTATGATTTAATAAATGATATAAAATAAAATGAGGTGTTTATTGCCCTGTAGGTGGTGGCTTTATGTACAGATCCAGCTATGCTGATGACAGACCCACGATATCCATCAGACGCCAAGGAACGTGCTCAGCGAGTCCTCGACAGCTGTGGTGGTAGCAGTATAGGTGTGTTATGTACTATGTGTTATATTGTGTCTCTCACAGGTTTCCGTTAGGTAGAACTGATATGAGTCCAGGTTTTGCGAGATTTTATTTTTGTATGCACTGCAACATAGTAGAGGGAGCATTAAGAGTTTCCCTTTTAGGTTGATTCATAGATACAGTAGAGGGAGCATTAAGAGTTTCCCTTTTAGGTTGATTCATAGATACAGTAGAGGGAGCATTAAGAGTTTCCCTTTTAGGTTGATTCGTAGATACAGTAGAGGGAGCATTAAGAGTTTCCCTTTTAGGTTGATTCGTAGATACAGTAGAGGGAGCATTAAGAGTTTCCCTTTTAGGTTGATTCGTAGATACAGTAGAGGGAGCATTAAGAGTTTCCCTTTTAGGTTGATTCGTAGATACAGTAGAGGGAGCATTAAGAGTTTCCCTTTTAGGTTGATTCGTAGATACAGTAGAGGGAGCATTAAGAGTTTCCCTTTTAGGTTGATTCGTAGATACAGTAGAGGGAGCATTAAGAGTTTCCCTTTTAGGTTGATTCGTAGATACAGTAGAGGGAGCATTAAGAGTTTCCCTTTTAGGTTGATTCGTAGATACAGTAGAGGGAGCATTAAGAGTTTCCCTTTTAGGTTGATTCGTAGATACAGTAGAGGGAGCATTAAGAGTTTCCCTTTTAGGTTGATTCGTAGATACAGTAGAGGGAGCATTAAGAGTTTCCCTTTTAGGTTGATTCGTAGATACAGTAGAGGGAGCATTAAGAGTTTCCCTTTTAGGTTGATTCGTAGATACAGTAGAGGGAGCATTAAGAGTTTCCCTTTTAGGTTGATTCGTAGATACAGTAGAGGGAGCATTAAGAGTTTCCCTTTTAGGTTGATTCGTAGATACAGTAGAGGGAGCATTAAGAGTTTCCCTTTTAGGTTGATTCGTAGATACAGTAGAGGGAGCATTAAGAGTTTCCCTTTTAGGTTGATTCGTAGATACAGTAGAGGGAGCATTAAGAGTTTCCCTTTTAGGTTGATTCGTAGATACAGTAGAGGGAGCATTAAGAGTTTCCCTTTTAGGTTGATTCGTAGATACAGTAGAGGGAGCATTAAGAGTTTCCCTTTTAGGTTGATTCGTAGATACAGTAGAGGGAGCATTAAGAGTTTCCCTTTTAGGTTGATTCGTAGATACAGTAGAGGGAGCATTAAGAGTTTCCCTTTTAGGTTGATTCGTAGATACAGTAGAGGGAGCATTAAGAGTTTCCCTTTTAGGTTGATTCGTAGATACAGTAGAGGGAGCATTAAGAGTTTCCCTTTTAGGTTGATTCGTAGATACAGTAGAGGGAGCATTAAGAGTTTCCCTTTTAGGTTGATTCGTAGATACAGTAGAGGGAGCATTAAGAGTTTCCCTTTTAGGTTGATTCGTAGATACAGTAGAGGGAGCATTAAGAGTTTCCCTTTTAGGTTGATTCGTAGATACAGTAGAGGGAGCATTAAGAGTTTCCCTTTTAGGTTGATTCGTAGATACAGTAGAGGGAGCATTAAGAGTTTCCCTTTTAGGTTGATTCGTAGATACAGTAGAGGGAGCATTAAGAGTTTCCCTTTTAGGTTGATTCGTAGATACAGTAGAGGGAGCATTAAGAGTTTCCCTTTTAGGTTGATTCGTAGATACAGTAGAGGGAGCATTAAGAGTTTCCCTTTTAGGTTGATTCGTAGATACAGTAGAGGGAGCATTAAGAGTTTCCCTTTTAGGTTGATTCGTAGATACAGTAGAGGGAGCATTAAGAGTTTCCCTTTTAGGTTGATTTGTAGATACATGTACAGTAGAGGGAGCATTAAGAATTTCCCTTTTAGGTTGATTTGTAGATACAGTAGAGGGAGCATTAAGAATTTCCCTTTTAGGTTGATTCGTAGATACAGTAGAGGGAGCATTAAGAGTTTCCCTTTTAGGTTGATTCTTAGATACAGTAGAGGGAGCATTAAGAGTTTCCCTTTTAGGTTGATTCATAGTTACGGTAGAGGGAGCATTAATTTAAGAGTTTCCCTTTTAGGTTGATTCGTAGTTACGGTACATCTACATCCAACTTTACAAATCTCCATTACTATAATACTACAAGTCCAGCATTCATCATACTTCTAATGTGGATACAGTATGACAAGTTCTACAAGGATTAATCAAATGTAGGTCACTGTGAATTTGGTTACATCCGTTTAGCTCCATTACTCTTAACACTAAAAGTTGCAAGTCAACAAACTTAACGTTGAATGAGTGAATATATAATTTCACTATTTGTGTTAAATTTAGAATTTAAGCGTGTGTGACTTATCTTGTTGATTATAATATACAATTGTTTCATGGCTATTTGGGGAACAGTCAGCGACCTCGGGCAAACAGTTCCACTGGGCTTCCCTCCTACCAAGGGATGGTAGTTTTGACTGTCCCCAAATAACATTGAAACAATTGTTTTATTACCAAATACATATCAGTATCAATGCTGCATGTAATGATGACTCGCCATTGCATTGCTTCGTCTGCTTAAACAACACTGAGTCACGGTCATCGAAACGCTTGAACGGGGCTCTCGAGGGGGGATTTCTGTGCATCAAATTCGCTCCGGGTAACAGTTCGCTTTGACCGGGAAAACAGTTTTGACTGTTTCACCCCTACGGCCGAAATTGGACAAAAAGCCAGAAACAGTCAAAAATGACTAATTATAGTTTATATAGTCTATTGGGTAATAACAAGAACTTAGTCACATGTATTATCTGCTGTTAAACTTTTGTTTTTGATGTTTGACAGGTGCCTACAGTGACAGTTCTGGTGTTCTGGCAGTGCGTGAGGACATTGCTAACTACATTCAGGAGCGAGACGGTATCCCAGCCTCCTCTAATGATATATTCCTGTGTACAGGTGCTAGTGATGGTATTAAGGTAAAAAAATATGGAAACATATTTCTGTGTCATCAAAAAGAGTGCAAAAGTAATTTCCTATCTCATTGATCTTTGATAATGCATGTTGATATCCGTAAAACACATTGTAAACTTAAGGTTTTAAGATTAAGTTGTAAAACATACCCTGAGTACCAACTCTCTGTAAGTCCACATGTTAATCTTCTGGGTATCAGGAGGATACTTAATGATGTACAGAGCCTTCAAAAAATAAATTTGTCTAAATACATGTATAATAGATAAGAAGAGTAGGAACTAATGAAGCCTGGTTTCTAACTAACGTATTCTTCTATGACTAGTTGCTGACATGTTCAAGCTACTTTGTACTATTCAAGCAAAACGATTAACAAACTACATGGCAACTATGAAGGCTTCAGGAGTTTCTACTAGTCTTTATTTAATTTGATCACTTGGTCTGAAGGACCAGTGTGAACTTATGCCGTATCGCAGCGTTTGTCGTCTGTCTGTCAAACATTTCTCAAAACCACTTATTCATGCAAACCACTGATAGAAATTTAACCAAATTTGACTGAAACCATCAGTAGGTTGTGGATATTCAAAATTGTACAAATGGCTTTAAACAACATCTTCTCTGGAACTAAGTGATGAATATCAATCACATTTGTTTTCTAGCATTCTAAGGTGGTTGAGCGTTTAAAATTGTACCACTTGCAGGGTTAACCCGTGGGTCTGAGGGTTAAGGCAAAAATGTTTCTGGTCCGACCCCTTCCTTAATGACTTAATTTCTTGGCCATAACTTTGAAATGGTTGAGATCCCTCATCCATAGCCATGTATATATGATTGCTTGGCAAAAAGATCCAGGTGAGCAATACAGGCCCTCTGGGTCTCTTGTGTACATTAGAAGCTTGTTTATCAGGCCTCAGATCACCCCAAAAAACATTCAATAGTGTATAGTGCTTTAAATTTGCGGGGTTTCGTATTCAGTACATATTCGCGGGGGTTAAATTTCACTGTGCGGCCTTATCCCATGTGTCGTGCAAAGTATTTTGAATGTCATCATTTAAGGCTAAACCTCGAAATATAGGTAACCCGTTTGAAAACACTGATCCCGAGCGTCGTCATCCACCAGTGACATCACTCGAAAGAAAATCAAAAGTGTATGTACCTTTGTAGGAGTAAACTGTAATCATAAATATGTTTTGGCCACTTATATGTAAGTGTTGTTTTTACATTAACTGCCAAGTTGACCGATGATTATCTGATTTGAGTTCATTTAGAATTCGCAGATATTAGTCAAAGCGTGAATATAGCGAAATTAAAAACCCCGTACAGTATCTCATCATCCACCATTATCTAGTGACAAATCCTGCTTAATTGATCTGCATAATTTTATTGACCAGATCGAATTCTCTGTAGAATAAACAAGTATATTTGCTTTCTTCTATCAAGTATCATGTCTTTTGTCCATACTATTACTATTATCTGTTGTGTCATGTTTTATTGTAGACCATAATGAAGATGTTGATGACTGGAGAATCTGGGCGTGGTCAAGCGGGGGTGATGATTCCCATCCCCCAGTACCCTCTATACACAGCCACTATAGCAGAGTACAATGCATATCCTGTAAGTTGACAATGTATGTGCTTACCCTCTGTCTGTATATCTGTGAAAACCTCACTCCTGTTAGCTTAGGACATCTTTGCCCCCCTCCCCCCAACTTTGTCTCTATACAAACACATCCTTGATACCGGAGTACAACACAGATTCTGTAAGTTTATGATATGTGTGCCCCCCTCCCCCTTACATCTGTCTGTATATTAACACATCCTTTATACCTGACTATACAACACAGATTCTGTAAGTTTATGATATGGGTGCCCCCCTCCCCCTTACATCTGTCTGTATATTAACGCATCCTTGATACCTGACTATACAACACAGGTTCTGTAAGTTTATGATATGTGTGCCCCCCTCCCCCTTACATCTGCCTGTATATTAACACATCCTTGATACATGGCTATACAACACAGATTCTGTAAGGTTATGATATGTGTGCCCCCCTCCTCCTTACATCTGTCTGTATATTAACGCATCCTTGATACCTGACTATACAACCCAGATTCTGTAAGTTTATGATATGTGGGCCCCCCTCCCGCTTGCATCTTTCTGTATATTAACGCATCCTTGATACCTGACTATACAACACAGATTCTGTAAGTTTATGACATCTTGCCCCCCCTCCTCAACTTTGTCTGTATACACACACATCCATGATACCCGAGCACAACACATATTTTGTTAGTTTACAATATGTAAATTCCCCCAACCCTCTGTATACCTATACATTGTACCGCCCAATCCCTGATTACCTCAACCCATTCTGTAAAATAACCATGAATGTACCCGTCTCTGACACATGCATACACTCATTGGTCTGGAGCCTTGTCTAAGGGTCAGAGGTCATCATGATGGAAGCAGAATTTTGAGGTTTTTTTTCCAGTACTAATGTTTAATATGATGATGTACATTGGTATAACAGATTTTGTTTCCAGTACTAATGTTTAATATGATGATGTACATTGGTATAACAGATTTTGTTTCCAGTACTAATGTTTAATATGATGATGTACATTGGTATAACAGGTTTTGTGAATATTCAATATTTTCTTAATTATTCTCTGAACAAGGTGTTACATTCCTGAAAGCAACAGTGACCACTAGACGTTTCTTGTTGAATGGTGTCCAAAGAATGTTCTTAATATACGTATACTTAGTAATTGTTTAATCCCACAAATTCATGGGAAATGAAATATCTTACTAGGTACTCAATGTATGTGATTACAGCCCTGGATGTGTGAATCTGGTCCTAGCAGCAGTTACTCACATTTATAACACGAGTGACTGATACTCTTTCAGATAAAATATTACATGGATGAGGACAAGAACTGGGCCCTAGATATAAACGAGCTGAAGAGATCAATTGATGAAGCGAGACCAAACTGTAAACCTAGAGCCATTGTTATCATCAACCCTGGTAACCCTACAGGTATGATTTAGACTAGTTCATATATGTAACCCTGGTAACCCTACATGTATGATTTAGACCAATACATGTAACCCTGTCAACTCTACAGATATGATTTAGACTGGTACATACATTAAACCTTGGTAAGCCTACAGGTATGATTCAGTCTGGTACATACATGTAATCCTGGTAACCCTACAGGTATGATTTAGACTGGTGCATACATGTAACCCTGGTAACCCTACAGGTATGATTCAGTCTGGTACATACATGTAACCCTGGTAAGCCTACAGGTATGATTCAGTCTGGTACATTCATGTAACCCTGGTAACCCTACAGGTATGATTCAGTCTGGTACATACATGTAATACTGGTAACCCTACAGGTTTGCTTTAGACTGAACCATGATTTTTACATGATTTGATTAATAAATACATGTAACCCTGGCAACCCAACAATTATACTTCGAATTGGCTTATGTTTTTAGTTAAAAATCTGGGAGGCAGGCTAAATCTGAACAAGCCTGTGACACAAGTCTTGTGATTGAGGCTCAGTGATTGGTAATTTAGTTGATGGGATGAGGATAGAGATGTTCAGGGATCATTCTGGTTAGGTTGGTAAGTAGGAATTCACTCAGTGTTTGGCTGTTATTGTGTGATGATGATCACAGATGTCCTAAGGTCTTACTTGGTGTGGTGGTGGTAGAGATGTGCCACTGGTTGGTTGATTCTAGGATTTAAGAACCAGTGCTTGACTCCTTTAATGATGATTCAATTGAATAGAACTTTTATTGTCAATTTCCATTCTTTCATCTTTTTTTTTCTATTTAGGTTCAGTTTTATCCAGACAAAATATAGAAGATGTGATAAAGTTTGCCAAGGATGAAGGACTTTTTATTTTAGCTGATGAGGTAAGAAAGTGTAATAAATGAATATCAAGACATAACATTTGGCAACCAGTTTCAACAAATACCAGGTAGTTCAATTTTCTATATTTTTCAGAATGCTATATTGAATCGGTATTATCCATGTTTAATGTTAAGTCTCCCTGTTAGTGTGACTTATATATTACCTGTAGACTCCTTACAGGTGTATCAATACTGTGTTACCCTTAATGTCTATACAGGTGTACTGATACTATATATACTACCTGTATACTGTACAGGTGTATCGTATCAATACTATATAAACTACCTGTATACTGTACAGGTGTATCAATGCTGTGTTACCCTTAATGTCTATACAGGTGTACTGATACTATATATACTACCTGTATACTGTACAGGTGTATCAATACTCTCTAAACTACCTGTATACTGTACAGGTGTATCAATGCTGTGTTACCCTTAATGTCTATACAGGTGTACTGATACTATATATACTACCTGTATACTGTACAGGTGTACTAATACTATATATACTACCTGTATACTGTACAGGTGTATCAATACTCTCTAAACTACCTGTATACTGTACAGGTGTATCAATACTATATATACGACCTGTATACTGTACAGGTGTATCAATACTGTGTTACCCTTAATGTCTATACACGTGTACTAATACTATATATACTACCTGTATACTGTACAGGTGTATCAATACTGTGTTACCCTTAATGTCTATACAGGTGTACTAATACTATATATACTACCTGCATACTGTACAGGTGTATCAATACTATATAAACTACCTGTATACTGTACAGGTGTATCAATACTGTGTTACCCTTAATGTCTATACAGGTGTACTGATACTATATATACTACCTGTATACTGTACAGGTGTACTAATACTATATATACTACCTGTTTACTGTACAGGTGTATCAATACTATATATACTACCTGTATACTGTACACGTGTATCAATACTATATAAACTACCTGTATACTGTACAGGTGTATAAATACTGTGTTACCCTTAGTGTCTATACAGGTTTACTAATACGATATAATGAGATTAAGACCGACATAATAATAGGGGAGATAGGAGCAAGTTTGGCCCATTTTTATTAAAATCTGTTCTGGGAAGTATGGCAGCATGCATGTCTGTTTTTGAACATTATTTAATTTTCACTGTCGGAAGATCGGATGGCCGAACAAGCCCTGCCATGGGATAAGTTCGGACAGGCATTCAGGTTAATTTGGCCCCATTGGAATCAGCTTAATTAATTATGACCTCATAAGTATGCAACCGCCAATTTTACGACTTTTTATGTGTTACATGGGCCGAACTTGCCACCGTTTCATTGGCCGAAACTATCCGGGCCCAAATTGATATTTCAATAAATTCTTATCGTATAGCAATATGGTAGTGAGTGCTTGGCTTGGCTTTTATGTATATCATTTGAAGCTGTCAATATGTTACACGTTTGACCATAAAAAAATAGCAATTCCGTTTACAGAAAGTTCGCATAACTAGAAGCGAGATCATGATTTTATTTAGATACTACCCTCTCAGAAACAATTTTCTCATGTTTAGTAATTTTACATTAGAATTTTCCTTTCCCTTTTTTTCCTTGTGAACGCCCAGCCAACTTAACTGCTAAGTAAATACCAGCTCAATTTTTTTTTTATTAGGGGTGGCCGAACTTGCCCCTGTCTCCCGTATGTAGATTTTTTGGGATATTTGTTCTTGTGCATAACGTATATGATGGGTCGGTTGGCGCAGTGGATAGTGCACTCATCTTCACCAAGATGGCCGGATTCAATCCCGGTCACCTACCCAACCACACAGGTTTTCTCCCGATACTCCATCTTTCTCCTACATTAAGAATTAAATCATCTGCTTGCTTCCGTCAGGGCACAATTATTGTTGATTTTGACATAAATGAACTATCCATCGTTTCTTTTATGATTGGTGATGCATACATATATTATGTAAAGGCGATAACCAGACTTTCAAAAATGTTAATTATTTCGTTCATATTTTCAACAAATCAAAATCAAAAGCTGTATACTGTACAGGTGTACTAATACTATATATACTACCTGTATACTGTACAGGTGTATGAATACTATATATACGACCTGTATACTGTACAGGTGTGTCAATACTGTGTTACCCTTAATGTCTACACAGGTGTACTAATACTATATATACTACCTGTACACTGTACAGGTGTATCAATACTATATATACTACCTATATACTGTACAGGTGTATCAATACTATATGTACTACCTGTATACCTGTACCTGTATACTGTACTGGTGTATCAATACTATATATACTACCTATATACTGTACAGGTGTATCAATACTATCTATACGACCTGTATACTGTACAGGTGTATCAATACTATATATATTACTTGTATACTGTACAGGTGTATATACAGGTGTACTAATACTATATATACTACCTGTATACTGTACAGGTGTATAAACAGGTGTACTAATACTATATATACTACCTGTATACTGTACAGGTGTACTAATACTATATATACTACCTGTATACTGTACAGGTGTATCAACACAACGTGTATGCAGAGGGAGCAGCCTTCCACTCGTTTAAGAAGGTAATGACAGAGTTGGGAGGAGAATACAAGGACATGGAGCTTGCATCCTTCATGTCAGTTTCCAAGGGATACATGGGAGAGTAAGTTTTCCCTTGGAGAAAAAGTATATATTTGTAATCTCGTACACATATTGAGTGTAGGAGTGCTTGTCCAGATGATAACTTAAGAACAATGATCATGTCAAGTTAAAACTTAATGTTTGGGTGTCCTAGTGGTATCCTCCTATTGATTTTGAGCATCATCTGTCAGTGGTCAAGGTCACTGTCGCTAAATATATAATTCTGCTTGGTTGGACTTGCCGAGATGGTAATTTGAGAACAAATGATTAGACAAATTTCAAAATTGGTGTGTGGGTTACCCTACTTGACACAAAGAACCTATTGATTTCGGGCATGGTGCATCAGAGGTCAAGGTCATTGTTGTTAAAAATAAAGTTTAACCTCATTGCTGTTGTCCAGGTGATAACTGGAGAACTAATCAACATACAAAGTTCATACTTGGTGTGAAAGTTGCCCAAATGAACGCAAACAAATCTTTGAATTTTGGGTGTTAGGTCGAAGTTGCTGTTCGAAAAAAATAAATCCTTGTGTTTTTTTCCCAATAATAACTTATGAATAACCCTTGAAGATATACTCATCTGGTCTTTAGTGTAGCTTGTAAATGTATGATTGTACAATGTCTGCATTTCACAGGCAGGAAATAGAGAGTATGTCCACATCAATCGTTTGTTAACAGATTGTACAGATTTGTGCACATGTTTGCCGCCCTTCTCAAGTACAAATTGATGATGGGTCGATAGCATATTCCGCACAAGATTGTTTTGGAGGGGATGTACCTTACCGAGACCAGTCTTACAACAAGTTGCCATTTAGGGGGCTAATAATAATTGTTTTTATCAATTTTTTTCGCAACTTTTTCTTACACAAACACAATTAAAAAATTTAGCCCACTTTTCACATGTTGAGAAGTGTCAAAATCTCCCAGAACATACTGTAATGTGTTGTGGGAATTCCATCCTCATAACTAACCTATTATAATTTTATAAATGCACATGTGCTTGGGGCCGAGTTAAGAACGTAATATCAATCTAGTTGTGTTAATTGTTTAAGGTGTTAGATTTGGTAATGTTTCATTTCAAAAACTATTCATACCTAAAGTGAATATCCCATGGCATTAGTAATACCTTCATCATGTAGAACATCAATCATTATGTGAGAAGATTTAAAATCCAATATTTATTCATTTATATTTCAGATGTGGATTTAGAGGAGGTTACTGTGAGGTCATTAACCTTGACCCCGAGGTTAAAGTTCAACAACTGAAATCAATTTCAGCAAAATTGTGTTCTTCTGTTGCTGGTCAGGTAAAATTTAAAAGACAGTTTTTCATAGAATACATTGAAAGTAGAAGTGTGTGAGCCAAAATCAATTCACCGTGTGAATCAAATTATTAGATACATTAATACGTGTTAAATCATTTTTATATTGATGTTAGCTGATCTGACTTGTCTAACACTACAAACAAATGACAATGCTGACTGTGTATAGGTTACATTGATGGTTGTTGTTCATTACAGGCGGCCATGGATGTTGTAGTAAACCCGCCACGCCCAGGAGAGCCTTCATACGACCTGTTCATGAAGGTATGTTTGCTGGGTGTCTGCTTTCTTTTTTATCTAGATACTTTGATGGTAGTTATGCCCCTTTCACAAAATTTGTACAACTTAACCATTGTTATCAAAATTTGTAAAACTTATAGATGTTATCACCACACTTGGAAGTTATTCTTTTTTTTTCTTTTTTTGGTGGGGGGGCGGGGGAGTTATGTACCTTTTCTGATTTCCAAGAATATCCTACTTACCAGCTTGACCTATAAATATAAAACTTCACAGACGTGATTGTACGGTAGTTGCAAGATTGCAAAAGTATTTAATTTCAAATATCTGATGGGAGTTATGTCCCTTCTCTGATTTTGTGTGTGTTTGGGACAGGAGGCATCACCTATAAATGTGGCCACACAGTTCGATCCCAGTCAAGGATTACTCACACCAGCTTGATAACACATAGAGTAACATTTACCAAATGTTTTATTTTAATAACAAAAGATACAATATCTAAAATTCATAATGCAATCTACTTTGCTATTACAGGAGAAAAACAAGGTTCTGAATGATCTGAAAGTGAAAGCCAACATGGTGACAGAGACATTTAATAGCATGGAGAGGTTTTCATGTAACGAAGTGAAGGGAGCCATGTATGCATTCCCACAAATACATATGCCAGAGTCAGCTCTACATGCTGCTAAGGTAGGTCATCACCATGGCAACTGTTTTGACCAAAGGTATATAATAACTGTGATAACAGATGCCATGGTAACAGTTGACTTGACAGATAGGTCATCACCATGGTAACAGTCATCTCTATATTTGTAATCTCCATGAAATTACTCAATAACACTCTTGATAAACATTTTTGTTGACCTCATCCATAGGTTGAACATGAAGGGTGAGGGTAACACTTTCAAATTCACAGGACTAAAAAAAATGGTCAAAATCACTAAACTTAAGGGTGAACACATTCAAACACTGGACTAGAAATAGTAAAAAATGGTGATTCTCACTAGACTTAACAATGAACACTTTCAAAATCACCACACTAGAAAACATTGAACACAGTCAAACTCACTAGATATAACCAATGAAAACTGTTAAAAGCAGTAGGCTTTTAAAGCCCATCACTTGACTTCACTTTTTTTCCCACCACTTTATTGCTGGTTTATACTCTGTTTAGCCATGTTGAATGTAAACAGAAAATGAATGGCGGGAGATATAAATCCTAATGAAGATTATTTCGTGAGGTAATTTTCCCCCTGACTACACAGTTACTTCAAAGGCACACAGGGTACTTGCACTGCAGAGGAAAATTTAGGATGCTCACGTGCAGTGCTTGTACAATAGGCTCTCCCAGTCTTCCAAACATCTCTTACATCATCCAGGTCAGTTGTTCGGGTAAAGAAATGACTGATCATGATGTCTGGTTTTCCCTTAAAGTATTTAAAGGTCAGGGGTACCCCTGGTGATGAGATTGGCCTACAATTTTTATCGGTGACCCTGTAGTTGTAGAGTATATCCCCTAGTGGCTGATGTCTGTTCGGGAGGACATACTCCAGCTTCACTGTTATGTAAGTACCGCCGGTGGCATTAGACAGAAGTTCGCGGCATTTTGCTGAAGGAAGAGGACTCATCATCGATGTCTGTGTTGCCTGGTAACACGACAGTGTTTCCCCAGACGAAGTGGACTGTTTATTCATCCATCCATATTGTTCATTGACGAAAACGCTTACCACAATATTTGAAGACTGATCAGGGAATTTCGTTATGGTTTTGACATCCGTGATATTCAGCCACTGATCATCCGCCATGTTTGGAATGGTTGGAGATTTCATAAAAACATCGACTCCCTGGAGATAGCGATCTGCTTCCCTGCCTTCCAAGCCATGGCTGTCAAAGTCTATCTTTTCCTTGTTGAAGTTGATCTCCAGGTAAAACACAGCTGACGAAAGCCCTAATATCAGGATTGAATTAAAGATTGTTACACCAAAGATTTTTTTTCTCCATCCTTCTATTTCCCCTTGCCTTTTAGCCTGACAATATTTCACAGACATAATGACCAGAAGTAAAACAACTTCAACTAATGCTGATGTAGCCTTTACTATTTGTACAATGTTGGTAACGTCTTCCCGGCACGAGGCAATAACAAGGTTAATGAGGATCTGAGGCAGATCTTCAATAAACAGTGTTATCATTGTCATCACCTCTGAAATCTTAGATATTGTATCTAATTTCTCACTCCATCTCCAATTATTTTTTTTGTTCCATTTATATTCTAGTCTGTTAATAACACATTCTGTGATGAAGGTGACCGTCCCAATTATGCAGAAAACAAGTGTTGCCATTACAAGTTTTTTGTCATGAGGTCCAAAAACTAAACCATCCTGAGCATTCTTAATGTCATCGTAGAATACCCAGTCCATTATAAAGTCGAATACATCCCCACACAGGATCAGGATAGACATCAGTCTCCCGCACATCTTTGTATGTTCTATGATGCAGTTGACAGTTCCTGGAAAAAACATAAAGGAAACGTTTAACATTAAACAATAAGATTCGGATAAAGAAGTTTTATGTACAGTTTGCTTACAGCAGAAAAGAATATGATTGGCGGAGGAATATGTCTAATGGTGCACGAATGGTAGTGTACATCCGCCCAAGAAGTGTTCTTTGTGACGCCAGATACAAACACACATAAAATATATTTTTGAACAAACACACGTAAATTGATTTTTGAACAAACACACGTAAAATGATTTTTGAAGGATTACTTTTTCTTCAATCATTGTTTAGCAGTATCCTATAATAATGTTCGTTTTGCTTCTTAAATTGAGAATCAAACAATTATGCCAGAAAAAAATCACTGGTATGTAAATATGGTGCAATAAAAAAATGAGTTTCAGCTGCGGAACCTTAAATTACATGGCTCTTAAATCTGGCTTTGTTACTATAGCATAATAAACAGGTATGTAAAAAATGGTTGTATCATAATACTATTCACAAGGTATGAAATTCATCTGGCTGTATTATTATAATTTTCACTATGTCCAAAACAAAACTGTCTGAATCATTATTATTACAAGGCTTATAATAAAAATGGCTATTTCATGATATCCAACCGGTATGTCATAAAACTGGCTGTTTTACTAAAATTTACTAAAGTACCCTGTACTTTTTATTTCAACAGGATCCATGACTGGAATAGTCTGCCTGACAAAATCAAGGGTATAAAATCCATATATGCATTTAAGGCAGCAGTGAAGAAACAACTCGCTTTTAAATTTCAAAATTCATGCTGATAACACAATTATATGTGATTGCAGTGGCACAAAACAAGTAGACTTTGCTGGTAGGGGGATCCCCAACCCTAAGAAAACAAACTTTGTGTCACTTCAATCCACGTGCTGACGACATCTGTACCGTATTATTTTTGATTATTTTTAAATATAAATAGTTGGAAAGTCACGTTACATATTTTAAGTTGGGCTAACTATTTAGACCTGAACATATATATATGTGTGTTTTTTAGATTATATAGTCATTACAGAATTACTATAGGTACTGACAATAAAGTTAATATGTTGTCATTCATTCCCTCCTGCAAAAATCTTTCCCCGTGATCAATATAACATGGACCCCATTGGAAATAAGCTTTCGAGCTTTCATGGGCTATCCTCAGGTTTATAGATCAATGTTTGTGTTGTATTAATTGTATAAATATAATTACCTATATCTTAAAATCAGTTATGAATTTTAGTTTCATATATAATATAATATTTTAAGATAATACAATATTTTATTACTGACGATAATTTAATGCATGTAGGTTCATTAATAATTGAGCGTCCGGAGAGCTTGTAGGAAGGGGATGCCCCAATCACCTGCTCCTTGGACTGCCCCAAAAACCTGTGATATTCTGTTTAAATTTTTAGTAATATATATGTATGTTGTACTGTAATATGTATGTCAACTGTCATGTTACATGTCATGTCTATGATCTATTTCCTGAAATAAACATTATTATTATTAAGAGAATAGGGAAGTCATTAAAACTGTAATCCGAACTCAAAATCAACCTGTATCCCCGGAAACCCTATGCTTATTATTTTTGTCTGGCAGCAGTCAACATCTATCACGGAAATCATTTATGTATGGAGAAAACTTTACAATACCGCATCAACTGCGACATGTAGACACTGTGGGTTGGGGAAGCAAGGATATCGATGATTTCCTGTTCATGATAAAGTATATGTGTAGCGTTGACAGGTGTAATTACTGACTACAAAACAACAAGGTACACATTATAGCATACTAAAAAAACAACCTTCATATTATTAAGAAACAAGAGGCCAAGATGGCCTGTATTGCTCACCTGTTTCATTTAATTTTTACATGAAACTGACATTTAGGTTATTTTAGACCAAATTTGGTAACTAGATCACAAAACATTTTAACAATTCTTAAACACTTCTTGAGATATTGTTGTTTAAAATTTGAAATTTTGATTATAAAGCTTTAAACCCACGTTGACTTTCGACCCCGGCTAGCACTTTAAGTTTGCTTTTGACCTCATTACTGTAATGAAGAAAAGATTCACAGCTGGCCTACATAACATACCCAAGTATCATGACTCTAGACCAAATGGTTCTTAGGATATCGTTGTTTGAAGTGTTTAACATATTTGACACCTGTAACCTTGAAACTATGTCAAGGTCATTTTAATGAGGAGTATTCCATCCCAGGTACCTACTGGCCAAATATCATGACACTGGGCCTTATGGAACTTGAGAAGAAGGTTGTTAGAGCTTTTAACCCATGTTGACCTTTGACCCATGGGAAGCACTTCAAGTTTACCTTTGATATCATTACTGTAATTAAAAAAAAAAGATTCACACATCTGGTCTATATAATATACCCAAGTATCATGACTCTAGTCCAAATGGTTCTTCGGATAATGTTGTCTGAAGTTTTTAACAAATTTGACCCATGTGATCTTAAAAGTAGATCAAGGTCATTTCAATGAGGAAACTTTATAGCACTCCATCCCAGGTACCTACTGGCCTAATATCCTGGGCCAAATGTCGTGACCATAGGTCCTTCAGTTTTTCAGAAGAAGTCGTTCAAAAGAAAAAGTTAACGGACGGGCGCCGAAATATGGCCATGATGACAACCATGAAACAAATTTCAGAAGGAACTTTTACATTTGTCTAATTAATCATTTCAAGAACTTATATGATGTATGTAGGCTACTTTTATGTCATTAACAAACAGGAAACGGTCTATTTCAGAAGGCATCATCTTTCTTTAGTACTCTATCAGCTTTAATCAAGATTACAAATACAAAAATATAAAATCAACAAAACATACAGACACGTATGACCGGACACGTATGACCGGACATATTTCCTGTGTCGTGTGTCACTGCGATACTTTGATGGATTATAGAGTTTTAATTTCTAGGATTAATTTATTCTACAAGTATCTTAACAAAATCCAACAAAAATGGTATTATTATATGTATATTTTAGAATGAAAGAGAAAGTGCGATTCCGAGAAAATGCAATTTGACCTACATCTGTAGCTTTTGTTTTCTGGTTGTCTCCCTTGTCATACTTTATTTATATTTGAAAATAAACTTATAGAGATCTATTTGATTATTGTTTGATACGTTTTTGAGTTTGATAAAGCAGAAGTCTACTTTAGAAGTCTACTTTAAGTCGACTTAATTCATTTTAAAAGATTATCTCCAATTCTGGAAAAATAATAAAATCATAAAATCTTGAAATATTTAGCATTGTATTAATGGCTTTGATTTCATATCCTTTAAATCAGCTGTGATGATTATAACACAGCTAGGATTAGAATAACCAGCAGTCTGGCGGTAAAACGTGTCTTCTTATCGATGACAGGAGAGCCGGCAGCAAAATGATTTTTTTTTTGTTTTTATTGAAAGTGATATACCAACCATAATACTGAGAAATTTAAAGTGTCAGCTGCCATATCAGAGTTTATAAAAAAATATCAGAATTTGTTGAATTTCCCTTGCGCGACTCGGCGAGGCTCGTGAAATAAATGTTTATGAAATCCATTGCGTTCACGTGTCAAAAGTGATAAACAATTAACTAAGAAAAATAGGTGAGGACAGTAAATTGAAACCATTGTATTAATACAGACCAATGTAACTGACAGCATACTTCTACCACTCAAGTGAACCATTTATAAAACATTGAAACTGGAGCGTAACACACAGCTACAAATGTATGAACTACTGAGCAAGGAGGACACTGATGCCTAAGTATCAGCCTCGCCTGCTCTACGTTAGATTTAACTCAACATTGTCTTTGAATAGCACCACGAGGATTACGACATCTCTCTTTTACACGAATAGATAATAATATAGATGTCGAAAATAGGATTACTTACACGTATTGATGTATAACTGTGAAAATCCTGACAATGGCTGTGCTGCTACTTGCTGGCTAGGAATAACGGCTTTGGCGATGAACTTCTTTCTATTTTTAGCAATAATGAAACTGGAATTCCCACGCTATTTATGGTTGGGTATTTTCATTATATTTAATTACAAAGTACATGTTGCTGCAGATGTATTTAATTAGACACTTAATTATTTTTCCAATATCATTTTAAAACAGATGTTGATGGATGAAATTGTTTTGATAATTTGTTCATTCTATAAATTAATATGTCTTCGCTGTTTTCGTTTCGTTTTGTAGAAATTTTCTATTTATTTGAAATATGAAAGTGAAACTGCATTTCTGTAACGTTTCATTAGAACTGCATGTGGCTTGTCCCTCCATTCATACGTTGTTTTATATGTTTGAAAACTGAAGTATTCTTTGTTATATTTCTAAGCTCACGACAATTTTTAGCTCACCTGGCCCGAAGGGCTTATGCCGTACTGCGGCGTCCGTCGTCCGTAGTTCGTAGTCCGTCGTCCGTCCGTCAACGTTTTCTTTTGAACGACTTCTTTTGAAGAACGGTAATACCTAGGGTCGTGCTATTTGGCCTGTAGGTACTTGGGATGGAGTGCTACAAAGTTTCCTCATTAAAATGACCTTGACCTACTTTCAAGGTCACAGTGGTCAAATATGTGTAAATTTTCAAACAGCAATCCTAAGAACCATTACGACTAGAGTCATGATACTTGGGTATATTATGTAGACCAGCAGTGCGAATATTTTTCTCAGTTACAGTTATGAGGTCAAAGATCAACTTTAAATGCTAGTGGGGGGTTTAAATGTCAACTTTGGTTAAAATCTTTAACAATCTTCTTCTCAAGTTCCATTAGGCCCAGGGTCATGTTATTGGCCAGTAGGTACCTAGGTTGGAGTGCTATAAAGTTTCCTCATTAAAATGACCTTGACCTACTTTCAAGGTTACAGCGGTTAAATATGTTAAAAACTTCAAACAACAATATCCTAAGAACCATTTGAACTAGAGTCATGATACTTGGGTATGTTATGTAGACCAGCAGTGCGAATTGTTTTCTTTATAACAGTAATGAGGTCAAAGGTCAACTTTAAGTGAAAGTTGGGGTCAAATGTCAACAGGAGTCAAAGGCTTTAACAACCTTCTTTTCAATTTCCATAAGGCTCAGGGTCATGATATTTGGCCAGTATGTACCTGGGATGAAGTGTTTTATATTTTCCTCATTAAAATGACCTTGACCTACTTCCAAGGTCACTGGTGTCAATTATGTTAAAAACTTCAAACAACAATATCCTAAGAACCATTTGGACTAGAATCATGATACTTGGGTATGTTATGATGACCAGCTGTGTGAATTGTTTTCTTTATTACAATAATAAGGTCAAAGGTCAACTTTAAGTGCAAGTCGGGAGTCAAAGGTCAATATGAGTTAAAAGCTTAAACATTAAAATTTCAAGTTTCAAACAACAATATCTTCAGAACCGTTTAAGAGATGTTAAAATGTCTTGTGTTCTAGTTACCAAATTTGGTCTTAAGTTACCTATATGCCAGTTGCATGTAACAAAAGAAACAGGTGAGCGATACAGGCCCTCTGGGCCTCTTGTTTTAAAAAGTTATCGTTCTTTTTCCATCCTTTTCTCTAGTCGTCTAAGCAAGAAAAGATCAATCGGATAAAATTTACATTTGAAGAAAAACCATAATTATAGGTTTAATATTCGTACGATATGAGCAAACATATCTGATTAGGAAACTAGCGTTTGGGTGTTAACTCACCTGGCCCGAAAAGCCATGTGAGGTTATGCCGTATTGCGGCGTCCGGCCGTCTTTTAAACGACTTCTGAAAAAGAACTAGAGGACCTAGGGTCATGCTATTTGACCAGTAGGTACATGGGATGGAGTGCTATAAAGTTTCATCATTAAAATGACTTTGACCTTATTTCAAGGTCACAGGGGTCAACTATGTTAAAAATTTCAAAAACAATCCTAAGAACCATTACGACAAGAACCATTACGACTAGAGTCATGATACTTGGGTATGTTATGTAGACCGGCAGTGCGAACGTATTTCTTTATTACAGTAATGAGGTAAAAGGTCAGCTTTAAGTACTAGTCAGGGTCAAAGTTCAACATGGGTTAAAAGCTTAAAAAAAAATCTTTTCAAGTTCCATAAGCCCAAAGGTCATGATATTTGGCCAGAAGGTAGCTAGGATGAAATGCTATACAGTTTCCTAATTAAAATTTCCTTGACCTAATTTCAAGGTCACAGGGGTCAAATATGTAAAAAAAAACTTCAAACATCAATACATGTATCTAAATGGTCTGTCACACCATAACGTTCTGGTCAGCGTTCGATGAACGTTCTAAGAATGTTTAATCGTTCAATTTTCGAACGTTCTAGGGTGAGGTGGACACATCTGGCGTGTGACTAACGTGCGACTAACGCATGACTAGCGTGTGACTAACGCATGAGGAGCGTGTTACCAGCGACCAAGTAAGACACCACTGAAAACTATTAGCGTGTGCTGACGTGTCACTGGCGCGACGAACGATTAGTCAACGTTAGACGAGCGTGTGACTAACGTGTGACACACGCTGCGGGCGCTTGGGGTCCGTTCATTGGTCGTTGACAGGTCGCCAGTGAGTCGTCTACTGCAAAGCAAAGATTGTGAGCGATAAATAACATCCAAGTAACGACTGATTAACAATAGCCGAACGCGTGCAACGTCCGGCGAACGTTAGTACAACGTTCCACGAACGTTTTCTAGCGTTCTCCAGCGTTTCAGGTTAAACGTTGAAGAACGCTGGTCTCCATGAGAACTTTTGTGCCTGTTCAAAACTTTATTTTCGGACAAACGTTCTCCGCCGATCATCGACGATCACCGACGATTACCAGCGTTCACACAACACTCTTCAGGCGCTATTCCAGCGACCACGGACGATTACCAACGTTTCCTCAAACGTCATAAAACGCTGACCAGAACGTTATGGTGTAATGGCCCCATTAAGAACATTTTGATCTAGAGTCATGATACTTCGGTATGTTATGTAGACCAGCTGTGTGCATCGTTTTTCTTTATTACAGTAATGAGGTCAAAGGTCAACTTTAAGTGCTAGCCAGAGTCAAAGGTCAATGTAGGTTAAAAGTTTTAAAATTGAAATTTCAAATTTCATTCAAACAAGAGATGTGAAAATGTCTTTTGTGCTAGTTACCAAATTTGGTCTGAAGTTACCTATATGTCAGTTTCATGTAACAAAAGAAACATGCCCTTTTGGCCTCGTGTTTTTAATAGTAATTTATTAAAGGAATCATCATTGATTGAATTCAGACTATATATCTTTTTCCGGAAGTTCTCGGCATGGGAGGGGCCGAGGTGGCCAAGTGATTAAGGCGTCTGACCTTCTGCTACCACTAGCTCTCCACCACTGAGTCGCGAGTTCGAGACCTACGTAGGGCAGTCGCCAGGAACTGATCTTAAGTGGCTTTTCTCTGGGAACGTCGGCTTTCCTCCATCATCGAAACCTGGCACGTCCTTGAATGACCATAGCTGTTAATACGTAAAACCCAAACAAACAAGCATATCTTGGCATGGGTAATAATTATTTTGGATATCCATCGTGTGTTCGCCAAGAATTTCGACTTTATAGGGTGAGTTAGACAAAAGAAAGGTCAAGATGAGGGATGAACCGTTTGATTACAGTAGACACCTTAAAGGGATTTCAAGTTTATTCAAAGTGGGTACATTGGTCGGGCACAGCAAGAGAATAAACCCAGTGAAATCGAGGTCCAAATGTCAAGATAATTGGTGGACGATTTGATTTCTGACAAAGACAGGCTTCATTGATGTCATTCAAGCCACTTCATTTCTTAACATACATAGATTTTAATCAAATTTCATACAGCGAGCGGTCTGTTACGAGAATATTTTGAAGCAGGTAGACATGTAATATTTATAGAAAAGCTTTGTCAATTACTCAATTGATGTCATTTCTCAACGCATATTGATCAAACGTCATCCAAGTGGTCAATGACGAGAATAACGGATTAGTATTGGATTGCAACTGTCTTCAAACCTACTCGTGTAGCGACCATCTACAAAGGACTACATGTAGTAAGGACAACTTCAAAACACCCTATGCACTTGCAAAAGGTCTAATAAGTGCAACATTTTAAATAGTTTCGCCCTGACGGTTAATTTTAAACCGTTCAAAATATCTTTATGAAACTTTCACTGGGTGTGCATCACCTACAAAACAAAAGTTATGCAGTAGTTTACCTTAGTTAGGTAGCCGGACCTTAACTTCAATGTGAAAGATCAATAAATGCACAGTTTTTAGTAAAGACTTTTCTGGGCCGTAAAAATGCATACCGTTAAAGATATCTTATTTAACTTGAAGTATATTTGTATTGCCTAAATACAATGTGCAGTGTATTGTAATAAAGTCATTGTGACCTTCAGCTGTTATGTCAAATAAGTGCAACATGTTGAGTTAAGTCTGGTCCAAGTCGTAATTTTTAAATTGTTAAAGATACCTTGATGTAACTTGAAGGAGACCTGTGTCATCAGTAGAAGAATATACAGTGCAACGGAAAAATTGCACATAACACAACATTTGATTAAATTATTTTCGAGGACATACATTTAAAATCGTTGGAGATATCTTGATCGAACTTGAAGTATATATGAGTTTCGATTTTTTTAACTTTCCCTTACATCACTATTTTCACAAGTTGCCGTGTTTACATGCGGCAGTTGATAAATATTTTTGAGATGTCGACTACTGGCGAGATGCAGGTTGACGAAGGTTTCGGGGAAGTTTTGTGGTCGTCATGGTTTATATTTACATTGGACGTCCTATTAACAGCTAAGGTGATTTAAGGACGTGGAGTGGTCGCTATAACGATCTGATTGGGGAATATTCAATTTCCTTTTGTGATATGAAGGACGATGTTTTTTTTAATATGCTTATCTTTGTTATGATACTACTCCGGTTCTTGCTATGAGGACATGGCATCACTGTATTTGACATACTACCATGGCACCATCTCTATATTCGGATGAGTCCCGATATCTATTCTTTCGGTCAAATCGTAGAACGCGAGTAGTGTATCGAAGACCTGTTGACGGCCTTACAGGTCAGTGGCGGAGGATCCTGATGAGGTCTATACACCGACTCATTGCTTCCATGCGAAGTCTTTGTCAGGCACTGGTCAACGCCAGGGGTTCTTTCACGCAATATTAATTCTGTGATGTTGATTTTGCGTACGCAGAGTAACACTCGTGACGTCGTTACATGGAGACATTCAAACGAACTGGAAGTAAATTAATTGTAACTACACATATTGATATCAATTTAGACATTGTGAATTAACAGCATTTTAAGTATCCTAATGAAATAATATCAATGTACTAACTTAACATTCCTTGTGGGGGACCAGTACCTTTGCAGAACTGATGAGCTAAAAAAAGATCTTTAAAAGACAGAAATGATGATACAAGAACCTTTATTTTTGTTTAAGTACGGGTGGCACGGTAGTCTCGTGGTAGGACGCCGGGATCGTGACCGAAGGGTTGCGGGTTCGAGTCCCGGCACAGCACTGTGTTGTGTCGTTGAGCAAGACACTTTACTCCGCTTGTTCCAGTCTACTCAGCTGTAAATGAGTACGTGGTTGGGCAGTGCTAGGATTGTAGAATGCTAGTTGTGAGCGCCGAAATTGCAACACCAGCTGTATGGTCCTAAGGGAGTTGAGAAAGCTATTGGCTGGTTGCAAAGGCCCTATAACCACAGATAATAATTCGTGAACCGCTTTGACACGAACTTCGAACTAGGCTGTGATAAAGCGGTATATAAGAACCTCGAAGTATTATTATTTATTATTATCAAGTGCAGTCAATGTAATGCAAGACACAAATGTGTTAAATATATTATATCATTTTTATGTAAAACTAAAGTAAAATGCTGTATATCTGCGCCACCACTTGTCAACTACGATGCCTACCAAACTAAAACTATATGTTTACTATCCAAATACACATGTGTTTACTTTTTAAAATATAGCTGTATATTGTAATGAAAGTAAAAATTATCTACGTGAACTTTCAATTTACACCAAAGGTACACCATATTAACTAATTGATAGCAGCCGAACGATACACGCTACCAGCCTTCCATTAACATAATGTACAAACAATATCAAACTTATACTGTACAAAACAATCCTTTGTTATTTTACACACATTCTCCAAGAAACATCCTGAATTTTGCTTCACTCTTAACAGAAATAGCAAATTGTAGGGAAAATAGTCGACATTTAAAGAATATTCATGGTTTTATTATAAAATGCATTTTATACTGTGTACACACGTCCTCATGGCGAAAAGTTAGCTCTAGTCACAGACTAACTGCTGTTTTTCCACTGTCGGGAGCTCGATCAATCACATATCTGATGTGCCAATTTTACATCTGACATTGAACGTACGTAGTAAAACATGGACAAACACAAACGAGACATAATTCAAATCAAGCTGAGTAACCATATATATATATTCATAATTAAAAAACCAACAATATCATTATTCTACATGTATTGATATTATAATTCAATAACTTATGTCACATAGAACAATTCACACGCTTTTTTTCCCCACCACTCTATACATGATATTTTTTGAGGCATGTTCAAGGTAAATAACATGAATTACAGTAGATCTTATATCCAAAATTACAATAAATGCAAGATAACTTGCTCCCTGGAAACACAGCTACCTCAGAGGTTCACAGGGTACAGTTATCACAGAGGATAATTTAGGACGCTCGCGGGCGGTACTCTTGCAAAAGCTACTGCCTGTTTTCCAAACCTCTCTTACGTCATCCAGGTCAGTTGCAAGGGAAAAGAAATGACTGATTTTGCTGCCTGATCTCTTGAAGTACTGCAAGGTCACAGGCGATGATGAGATTGGCCTACAATTTTGATCGGTGACCCTGTAGTTGTAGAGTATATCCCCTAGTGGCTGATGTCTGTTCGGGAGGACATACTCCAGCTTCACCGTTATGTAAGTACCGTCGGTGGTATTAGACAGAATTTCACGGCATTTTGCTGAAGGAAGAGGACTCATCATCGATGTCTGTGCTGCCTGGTAACACGACAGTGTTTCCCCAGACGTAGTCGACTGTTTCTTTATCCATCCATACTGTTCATTGACGAAAACGCTTACCACCATATTTGAAGACTGATCGGGGAATTTCGTTATGGTTTTGATATCTGTGATATTCAGCCACTGATCATCCGCCATGTTTGGAATGGTTGGAGATTTCATAAAAACATTGACTCCCTGGAGATAGCGATCTGCTTCTTTGCCTTCCAAGCCATGGCTGTCAAAGTCTATCTTTTCCTTGTTGAGGTTGTTTTCCAGGCCAAACACAGCCACCGAAAACGCAAATATCAGGAATGAAATGACGATTGTCACCCAAAAAACCCATTTTCTCCATGCTTTTATTTCCCCTTTCCTTTTAACCTGACGATGTTTTACAAACAAAATGCCTAGAAGTATGATAACTTCGACTAATGACGATACTGCCTTAACTATTTGTACAACGTTTGTAACTTCTTCCCTGCACAAGGCAACAGCAAAGTTAATGAGGATCTGAGGCAAATCTTCAATAAACAGTGTTATCATTGTCATCACCTCTGAAATCTTAGATATTGTATCTAATTTCTCACTCCATCTCCAATTATGTTTTTTGTTCCATTTATATTCTAGTCTGTTAATAGCACATTCTGTGATGAAGGTGACCGTCCCAATTATGCAGAACACAAGTGTTGCCATTACCAGTTTTTTGTCATGAGGTCCAAAAACTAAACCATCCTGAGCATTCTTAATGTCATCGTAGAATACCCAGTCCATTATAAAGTCGAATACATCCCCACACAGGATCAGGATAGACATCAGTGTCCCGCACATCTTTGTATGTTCTTTGGTGCAATTGACAGTTCCTGGAAAAAACATAAAGGAAACGTTTAACATTAAACAATAAGATTTGGATAAAGAAGTTTTATGTACAGTTTGCTTACAGCAGAAAAGAATATGATTGGCGAGGAATATGTCTAATGGTGCACGAATGGTAGTGTACATCCGCCCAAGAAGTGTTCTTTGTGAAGCCAGATACAAACATACATAAAATATATTTTTGAACAAACACACGTAAATTGATTTTTGAACAAACACACGTAAAATGATTTTTGAAGGATTACTTTTTCTTCAATCATTGTTTAGCAGTATCCTATAATAATGTTCGTTTTGCTTCTTAAATTGAGAATCAAACAATTATGCCAGAAAAAGATCACTGGTATGTAAATATGGCGCAATAAAAAAATGAGTTTCAGCTGCGGAACCTTAAATTACATGGCTCTTAAATCTGGCTTTGTTACTATAGCATAATTAACAGGTATGTAAAAAATGGTTGTATCATAATACTATTCACAAGGTATGAAATTCATCTGGCTGTATTATTATAATTTTCACTATGTCCAAAATAAAACTGTCTGAATCATTATTATTACAAGGCTTATAATAAAAATGGCTATTTCATGATATCCAACCGGTATGTCATAAAACTGGCTGTTTTACTAAAATTTACTAAAATTTACTGAAGTACCCTGTACTTTTTATTTTAACGGGATCCATGACTGGAATAGTCTGCCTGACAAAATCAAGGGTATAAAATCCATATATGCATTTAAGGCAGCAGTGAAGAAACAACTCGCTTTTAAATTTCAAAATTCATGCTGATAACACAATTATATGTGATTGCAGTGGCACAAAACAAGTAGACTTTGCTGGTAGGGGGATCCCCAACCCTAAGAAAACAAACTTTGTGTCACTTCAATCCACGTGCTGACGACATCTGTACCGTATTATTTTTTATTTTTTTTAAATATAAATAGTTGGAAAGTCACGTTACATATTTTAAGTTGGGCTAACTATTTAGACCTGAACATATATATATGTGTGTTTTTTAGATTATATAGTCATTACGGAATTACTATAGGTACTGACAATAAAGTTAATATGTTGTCATTCATTCCCTCCTGCCAAAATCTTTCCCCGTGATCAATATAACATGGACCCCATTGGAAATAAGCTTTCGAGCTTTCATGGGCTATCCTCAGGTTTATAGATCAATGTTTGTGTTGTATTAATTGTATAAATATAATTACCTATATCTTAAAATCAGTTATGAATTTTAGTTTCATATATAATATAATATTTTAAGATAATACAATATTTTATTACTGACGATAATTTAATGCATGTAGGTTCATTAATATTTGAGCGTCCGGAGAGCTTGTAGGAAGGGGATGCGCCAATCACCTGCTCCTTGGACTGCCCCAAAAACCTGTGATATTCTGTTTAAATTTTTAGTAATATATATGTATGTTGTACTGTAATATGTATGTCAACTGTCATGTTACATGTGATGTCTATGATCTATTTCCTGAAATAAACATTATTATTATTAAGAGAATAGGGAAGTCATTAAAACTGTAATCCGAACTCAAAATCAACCTGTATCCCCGGAAACCCTATGCTTATTATTTTTGTCCGGCAGCAGTCAACATCTATCACGGAAATCATTTATGTATGGAGAAAACTTTATAATACCGAATCAACTGCGACATGTAAACACTGTGGGTTGGGGAAGCAAGGATATCGATGATTTCCTGTTCATGATAAAGTATATGTGTAGCATTGACAGGTGTAATTACTAACTACAAAACAACAAGGTACACATTATAGCATACTAAAAAAACAACCTTCATATTATTAAGAAACAAGAGGCCAAGATGGCCTGTATTGCTCACCTGTTTTATTCCGTCAACGTTTTCTTTTGAACGACTTCTTTTGAAGAACGGTAATACCTAGGGTCGTGCTATTTGGCCTGTAGGTACCTGGGATGGAGTGCTATAAAGTTTCCTCATTAAAATGACCTTGACCTACTTTCAAGGTCACAACGGTCAAATATGTGTAAATTTTCAAACAACAATCCTAAGAACCATTACGGCTAGAGTCATGATACTTGGGTATATTATGTAGACCAGCAGTGCGAATATTTTTCTCAGTTACAGTTATGAGGTCAAAGGTCAACTTTAAATGCTAGTGTGGGGGGTTCAAATGTCAACTTTGGTTAAAATCTTTAACAATCTTCTTCTCAAGTTCCATTAGGCCCAGGGTCATAATATTTGGCCAGTAGGTACCTAGGATGAAGTGTTATATATTTTCCTCATTAAAATTACCTTGACCTACTTCCAAGGTCACTGGTGTCAATTATGTTAAAAACTTCAAACAACAATATCCTAAGAACCATTTGGACTAGAATCATGATGCTTGGGTATGTTATGATGACTAGCTGTGTGTATTGTTTTCTTTATTACAATAATAAGGTCAAAGGTCAACTTTAAGTGCAAGTCGGGAGTCAAAGGTCAATATGAGTTAAAAGCTTAAACATTAAAATTTCAAGTTTCAAACAACAATATCTTCGGATCCGTTTAAGAGATGTTAAAATGTCTTGTGTTCTAGTTACCAAATTTGGTCTTAAGTTACCTATATGTCAATTGCATGTAACAAAAGAAACAGGTAAGCGATACATGCCCTCTGGGCCTCTTGTTTTAAAAAGTTATCGTTCTTTTTCCATCCTTTTCTCTAGTCGTCTAAGCAAGAAAAGATCAATCGGATAAAATTTACATTTGAAGAAAAACCATAATTATAGATTTAATATTCGTACGATATGAGCAAACATATCTTATTAGGAAACTAGCGTTTGGGTGTTAACTCACCTGGCCCGAAAAGCCATGTGAGGTTATGCCGTATCCCGGCGTCCGGCCGTCTTTTAAACGACTTCTGAAAAAGAACTAGAGGACCTAGGGTCATGCTATTTGACCAGTTGGTAATGGGATGGAGTGCTATAAAGTTTCATCATTAAAATGACTTTGACCTTCTTTCATGGTCACAGGGGTCAACTATGTTAAAAATTTCAAAAACAATCCTAAGAACCATTACGACTAGAGTCATGAAACTTGGGTATGTTATGTAGACCAGCAGTGCGAACGTATTTCTTTATTACAGTAATGAGGTAAAAGGTCAGCTTTAAGTACTAGTCAGGGTCAAAGTTCAACATGGGTTAAAAGCTTAAAAAAAATTCTTTTCAAGTTCCATAAGCCCAAAGGTCATGATATTTGGCCAGAAGGTAGCTAGGATGAAATGCTATACAGTTTCCTAATTAAAATTTCCTTGACCTAATTTCAAGGTCACAGGGGTCAAATATGTAAAACATCAATACATGTATCTAAATGGTCTGTCACACCATAACGCTCTGGTCAGCGTTCGATGAACGTTCTAAGAATGTTTAATCGTTCAATTTTCGAACGTTCTAGGGTGAGGTGGACACATCTGGCGTGTGACTAACGTGCGACTAACGCATGACTAGCGTGTGACTAACGCATGAGGAGCGTGTTACCAGCGACCAAGTAAGACACCATTGAAAACTATTAGCGTGTGCTGACGTGTCACTGGCGCGACGAACGATTAGTCAACGTTAGGCGAGCGTGTGACTAACGTGTGACACACGCTGAGGGCGCTTGGGGTCCGTTCATTGGTCGTTGACAGGTCGCCAGTGAGTCGTCTACTGCAAAGCAAAGATTGTGAGCGATAAATAACATCCAAGTAACGACTTATTAACAATAGCCGAACGCGTGCAACGTCCGGCGAACGTTAGTACAACGTTCCACGAACGTTTTCCAGCGTTCTCCAGCGTTTAAGGTTAAACGTTGAAGAACGCTGGTCTCCATGAGAACTTTTGTGCCTGTTCAAAACTTTATTTTCGGACAAGCGTTCTCCGCCGATCATCGACGATCACCGACGATTACCAGCGTTCACACAACACTATTCAGGCGCTATTCCAGCGACCACGGACGATTACCAACGTTTCCTCAAACGTCATAAAACGCTGACCAGAACGTTATGGTGTAATAGCCCCATTAAGAACATTTTGATCTAGAGTCATGATACTTCGGTTTGTTATGTAGACCAGCTGTGTGCATCGTTTTCTTTATTACAGTAATGAGGTCAAAGGTCAACTTTAAGTGCTAGCCAGAGTCAAAGGTCAATGTAGGTTAAAAGTTTAAAAATTGAAATTTCAAATTTCATTCAAACAAGAGATGTGAAAATGTCTTTTGTGCTAGTTACCAAATTTGGTCTGAAGTTACCTATATGTCAGTTTCATGTAACAAAAGAAACAGGCCCTTTTGGCCTCGTGTTTTTAATAGTAATTTATTAAAGGAATCATCATTGATTAAATTCAGACTTTATATCTTTTTCCGGAAATTCTCGGCATGGGAGAGGCCGAGGTGGCCAGGTGATTAAGGCGTCTGACCTTCTGCTACCACTAGCTCTCCACCACTGAGTCGCGAGTTCGAGACCTACGTAGGGCAGTCGCCAGGAACTGATCTTAAGTGGCTTTTCTCTGGGAACGTCGGCTTTCCTCCATCATCGAAACCTGGCACGTCCTTGAATGACCATAGCTGTTAATACGTAAAACCCAAACAAACAAGCATATCTTGGCATGGGTAATAATTATTTTGGATATCCATCGTGTGTTCGCCAAGAATTTCGACTTTATAGGGTGAGTTAGACAAAAGAAAGGTCAAGATGAGGGATGAACCGTTTGATTACAGTAGACACCTTAAAGGGATTTCAAGTTTATTCAAAGTGGGTACATTGGTCGGGCACAGCAAGAGAATAAACCCAGTGAAATCGAGGTCCAAATGTCAAGATAATTGGTGGACGATTTGATTTCTGACAAAGACAGGCTTCATTGATGTCATTCAAGCCACTTCATTTCTTAACATACATAGATTTTAATCAAATTTCATACAGCGAGCGGTCTGTTACGAGAATATTTTGAAGCAGGTAGACATGTAATATTTATAGAAAAGCTTTGTCAATTACTCAATTGATGTCATTTCTCAACGCATATTGATCAAACGTCATCCAAGTGGTCAATGACGAGAATAACGGATTAGTATTGGATTGCAACTGTCTTCAAACCTACTCGTGTAGCGACCATCTACAAAGGACTACATGTAGTAAGGACAACTTCAAAACACCCTATGCACTTGCAAAAGGTCTAATAAGTGCAACATTTTAAATAGTTTCGCCCTGACGGTTAATTTTAAACCGTTCAAAATATCTTTATGAAACTTTCACTGGGTGTGCATCACCTACAAAACAAAAGTTATGCAGTAGTTTACCTTAGTTAGGTAGCCGGACCTTAACTTCAATGTGAAAGATCAATAAATGCACAGTTTTTAGTAAAGACTTTTCTGGGCCGTAAAAATGCATACCGTTAAAGATATCTTATTTAACTATATTTGTATTGCCTAAATACAATGTGCAGTGTATTGTAATGAAGTCATTGTGACCTTCAGCTGTTATGTCAAATAAGTGCAACATGTTGAGTTAAGTCTGGTCCAAGTCGTAATTTTTAAATTGTTAAAGATACCTTGATGTAACTTGAAGGAGACCTGTGTCATCAGTAGAATAATATACAGTGCAACGGAAAAATTGCACATAACACAACATTTGATTAAATTATTTTCGAGGACATACATTTAAAATCGTTGAAGATATCTTGATCGAACTTGAAGTATATATGAGTTTCAATTTTTTTAACTTTCCCTTACATCACTATTTCCACAAGTTGCCGTGTTTACATGCGGCAGTTGATCAATATTTTTGAGATGTCGACTACTGGCGAGATGCAGGTTGACGAAGGTTTCGGGGAAGTTTTGTGGTCGTCATGGTCTATATTTACATTGGACGTCCTATTAACAGCTAAGGTGATTTAAGGACGTGGAGTGGTCGCTATAACGATCTGATTGGGGAATATTCAATTTCCTTTTGTGATATGAAGGACGATGTTGTTTTAATATGCTTATCTTTGTTATGATACTACTCCGGTTCTTGCTATGAGGACATGGCATCACTGTATTTGACATACTACCATGGCACTATCTCTATATTCGGATGAGTCCCGATATCTATTCTTTTGGTCAAATCGTAGAACGCGAGTAGTGTATCGAAGACCTGTTGACGGCCTTACAGGTCAGTGGCGGAGGATCCTGATGAGGTCTATACACCGACTCATTACTTCCATGCGGAGTCTTTGTCAGGCACTGGTCAACGCCAGGGGTTCTTTCACGCAATATTAATTCTGTGATGTTGATTTTGCGTACGCAGAGTAACACTCGTGACGTCGTTACATGGAGACATTCAAACGAACTGGAAGTAAATTAATTGATACTACACATATTGATATCAATTTAGACATTGTGAATTAACAGCATTTTAAGTATCCTAATGAAATAATATCAATGTACTAACTTAACATTCCTTGTGGGGGACCAGTACCTTTGCAGAACTGATGAGCTAAAAAAAATCTTTAAAAGACAGAAATGATGATACAAGAACCTTTATTTTTGTTTAAGTACGGGTGGCACGGTAGTCTCGTGGTAGGACGCCGGGATCGTGACCGAAGGGTTGCGGGTTCGAGTCCCGGCACAGCACTGTGTTGTGTCGTTGAGCAAGACACTTTACTCCGCTTGTTCCAGTCTACTCAGCTGTAAATGAGTACGTGGTTGGGCAGTGCTAGAATTGTAGAATGCTAGTTGTGAGCGCCGAAATTGCAACACCAGCTGTATGGTCCTAAGGGAGTTGAGAAAGCTATTGGCTGGTTGCAAAGGCCCTATAACCACAGATAATAATTCGTGAACCGCTTTGACACGACCTTCGAACTAGGCTGTGATAAAGCGGTATATAAGAACCTCGAAGTATTATTATTTATTATTATTAAGTGTAGTCAATGTAATGCAAGACACAAATGTGTTAAATATATTATATTATTTTTATGTAAAACTAAAGTAAAATGCTGTATATCTGCGCCACCACTTGTCAACTACGATGCCTGCCAAACTCAAACTATATGTTTACTATCCAAATACACATGTGTTTACATTTTAAAATATAGCTGTATATTGTAATGAAAGTAAAAATTAACTACGTGAACTTTCAATCTACACCAAAGGTACACCATATTAACTAATTGATAGCAGCCGAACGATACACGCTACCAGCCTTCCATTAACATAATGTACAAACAATATCAAACTTATACTGTACAAAACAATCCTTTGTTATTTTACACACATTCTCCAAGAAACATCCTGAATTTTGCTTCACTCTTAACAGAAATAGCAAATTGTAGGGAAAATAGTCGACATTTAGGGAATATTCATGGTTTTATTATAAAATGCATTTTATACTGTGTACACACGTCCTCATGGCGAAAAGTTAGCTCTAATCACAGACTAACTGCTGTTTTTCCACTGTCGGGAGCTCGATCAATCACATATCTGATGGGCCAATTTTACATCTGACGTTGAACGTACGTAGTAAAACATGGACAAACACAAACGAGACATAATTCAAATCAAGCTGAGTAACCATATATATATATTCATAATTAAAAAACCAACAATATCATTATTCTACATGTATTGATATTATAATTCAATAACTTATGTCACATAGAACAATTCACACGCTTTTTTTCCCCACCACTCTATACATGATATTTTTTGAGGCATGTTCAAGGTAAATAACATGAATTACAGTAGATCTTATATCCAAAATTACAATAAATGCAAGATAACTTGCTCCCTGGAAACACAGCTACCTCAGAGGTTCACAGGGTACAGTTATCACAGAGGATAATTTAGGACGCTCGCGGGCGGTACTCTTGCAAAAGCTACTGCCTGTTTTCCAAACCTCTCTTACGTCATCCAGGTCAGTTGCAAGGGAAAAGAAATGACTGATTTTGCTGCCTGATCTCTTGAAGTACTGCAAGGTCACAGGCGATGATGAGATTGGCCTACAATTTTGATCGGTGACCCTGTAGTTGTAGAGTATATCCCCTAGTGGCTGATGTCTGTTCGGGAGGACATACTCCAGCTTCACCGTTATGTAAGTACCGTCGGTGGTATTAGACAGAATTTCACGGCATTTTGCTGAAGGAAGAGGACTCATCATCGATGTCTGTGTTGCCCGGTAACACGATAGTGTTTCCCCAGACGTAGTCGACTGTTTCTTTATCCATCCATACTGTTCATTGACGAAAACGCTTACCACCATATTTGAAGACTGATCGGGGAATTTCGTTATGGTTTTGATATCTGTGATAATCAGCCACTGATCATCCGCAATGTTTGGAATAGTTGGAGATTTCATAAAAACATTGACTCCCTGGAGATAGCGATCTGCTTCTTTGCCTTCCAAACCATGGCTGTCAAAGTCTATCTTTTTCTTGTTGAGGTTGTTTTCCAGGCCAAACACAGCCACCGAAAACGCAAATATCAGGAATGAAATGACGATTGTCACCCAAAAAACCCATTTTCTCCATGCTTTTATTTCCCCTTTCCTTTTAACCTGACGATGTTTTACAAACAAAATGCCTAGAAGTATGATAACTTCGACTAATGACGATACTGCCTTAACTATTTGTACAACGTTTGTAACTTCTTCCCTGCACAAGGCAACAGCAAAGTTAATGAGGATCTGAGGCAAATCTTCAATTAACAGTGTTATCATTGTCATCACCTCTGAAATGATCAGATATTTTGTTGCTGATTTGTCGCTGCATATGCATTCTAGTGCATTTATAACAGACTCTATGATGAAGGTGATCATCCCAATAATACAGAAAACTAATGTTGAAGTCATTAACGTTCTGTCATGAGGTCCGAACGCCAATCCGTCCTGTGCGCTCATGATGTCGTGATAGAATAGCCAGTCCATTATAAAGTCGAACACATCGCTACACAGAATCAGGATAAACATTACTACGTTTTGTACACCACATTTGTGACCTCTGCACATCTTGATGATTGTTGCTGAATTTTTGTTGTTGCAAAAAGCAGTTTCTGAAAATAGAAAATAAAAATCTCATATGAACAGTGCAGACTTATTTTTCCGGGTAAAATTATCTCCACCATAAGTATGTTAACAGCAGGGTATGAATAGCTAAGCAATAGTGAATTTCTCAGACAGACGTCTCTTTTGTACTGCATGCACCGTCATGCATTTATACATATATATATAACATATTAATATAAAAATATGTAATAAACCTTACCAAAAGCCCTTATCTGACATCTAGAAGAGCACGGAGCTTGATACAGACGAATGTATTAAATTGTGCACAGTGGTCTCTGTGACGCCAGATAAAGACACCTGTGGTTTGTTGTATCAAATCAGTACAAAAGGATAATTATGTATTAGTGTTTTGTTTAGGATTTGTTTATTCTACAAATATGTTAATAATATTAATTTTGTTCCTATCTTTAGCCAACGATCATGAGATGATGGGCTCCTCAAATCGCCTTTCGTCCGTGGTCCGTCGTGTTTCAGACAGCCATCTTGTATTTTGACAGTTTATGTCGATGTTGCGAATCGAATCACCCTAAGAATTGGGTATTACACTCACAACGTACGGTGTGAATATTCTTCTCCCCTCATTTAAAAACTATGATTGAAAATATTGGATTTCAGCACTTGCAAACTTCTGTTAAATCCTGATTAGCACATTGTCTCTTACGTCGAGAGCTGATTGTGATGGCATATATGATTATCTCTTGACGTCATAGTATTGTTTTGTTCATGTCATACCCAAGGGTTGACAAAGAAATCATAACCAAGAGGATGACGAAGAAATACCTATGGGGAGACAGAGAACTCATACCCTAGTGGTGACAGAGAAATTATAGCCTGAATGATGATAGAGAAAGGATACCATAGGGAGATTACAGTGCTGAATTGTAGTACGGCAGATAATTTTGTAAATGGTAGGATATATGGTTTAGTTTTTGTATAATTTCACGGTCGATCGGCATTTAGTCATTTAGGACCAAGGGGTGGGGGAAAATGTGTCAATCCAATTCAATACAGTTGTAACACTTGCTTCGCTTTAATAATTTCAAAAATAAAGAGATTAAAACAACAATTATGCGAANCCGCAGTAACTTGTCCGGAAAACTACTCCTTAATTAACAGGTGGATTTCATTGAAACGTTGCATGAATGATCAGTATCTGATGTAGTTGTGCAGCGGCATTTTAATTTGGGACTTCGACCCTTTTTGATGGAGTTTGCCCCCTTTGTGCGAAATACTTGTCCGGAAAACTCCTCCTTAATTAACAGGTGGTATTCATTGAAACTTTGCGTGAATGATCGGTATTTTATGTTGTTGTGCACTGGCATTGTTATTTGGGATTTCGACCCTTTTTGATGGAGTTATGCCCCTTTGTGCGAAATACTTTATTTTTTTTTGTTTTTGATAAAATACTGATTAACTCATTACTGGTGGGAGACTATATTGCTTTGCATTAGTAAGCCTTTAGCTTACAGTTCTGGTTTGTATAGGAGCGGGGGTATTAGTTAGCCTTTGGCTTACAGTTCTAGTTTGAACTACTCGTGTAAGTTTTACTGCATTTTGTTCCCTTTCTAGTCCTTACCACGGGTATAAGCTTTCATAGATAATTCCGCTATGACAAAACAGTTCTTTGTAACTTTATTGTTTTCTTTATCACCCAGACAGCATATTACACAATAGTATATACAATATAAAGACACAAATTAAATCTTTGTGTCAGTGTGGTTTGCTCGATTACTCCGCTTGAGGTTTACACGACTGTGTCACACGACTGTGTAAGTTACAGCAAGAAAAGACATGACAATGTGTTAAAAGCGAAGATGGATCTTCACGCACACACATATATATATATATACTACTCCCTTGCTATACTTGCCCAATTAAATACAATTATAATACAACAGATAATTATTTCATCTTTTGCACGAGGCACATTTTTAAAAAGCAGAAAATATTCCCATCAAAAAAGCTTAAATCATTTAAGCTAACAATGCTGCCAAACCATGACTGACGGTCCTTAATGACTTATTAAATTATTTCTCTGAACATCCGGTACGGATCGGAGAACGGATCTTGGTTATACCACTATATGTGTTTCAATTTAACAACAAAATTAAACGTGTGCTGTTTGTTTATCGCAAATTGTTAAAATAACAAAAATGATGGCCTGTATAATTAAACTCAGCACGTAATTAAGCTTTTGTTCTGGTTATGAACATAAGGATATACTAAATCCAAGTCAGATATCCAAACTTGCCAAAATATAAAATATATAGGGCTACACATATTTTTTTATTCTAATGTTAGTCACTTTTAGATCGGAACATCTGCTATTGATGTCTAGAGGGCAGACAGCAGACTTTCTCAGAATCACACCTGGACTTTCGCTTTTGATCAATGTGGAACTCCAACTGTAATTCTGAAAATGTGTCGGCTTTCGTTTTCAAAAATCATAACGGGGAATTTTAAGAAACAGACTCTACAGCTAATTGACTTTATTTAAATGATATCAAAATATGTTCTACTTAATATTCTACTTAAATTCACATTTCATGCTTTCTAACCTCGCCTAGTCGTTTCAGCAAAACATTTGAAATCCTTATGTAAAACCAAATTTGGTTTTATATATGGATTTCAAATTTTTCCTGACATTTTGTTAAAACCCTTTAAATATAGTATGAACTTTTAATAATCTTTTAAGTTTACAATGTTTAGGTCGGAACATCTGCTATTGATGTCTAGAGGGCAGACAGCAGACTTTCTCAGAATCACACCTGGACTTTCGCTTTTGATCAATGTGGAACTCCAACTGTAATTCTGAAAATGTGTCGGCTTTTGTTTTCAAAAATCATTACGGGGAATTTTAAGAAACAGATTCTACAGCTAATTGACTTTATTTAAATGATATCAAAATATGTTCTACTTAATATTCTACTTAAATTCACATTTCATACTTTCTAACCTCGCCTAGTCGTTTCAGGAAAACATTTGAAATCCTTATGTAAAACCAAATTTGGTTTTATATATGGATTTCAAATGTTTTCCTGACATTTTGTTAAAACCCTTTAAATATAGTATGAACTTTTAATAATCTTTTAAGTTTACAATGTTTAGGTCGGAACATCTGCTATTGATGTCTAGAGGGCAGACAGCAGACTTTCTCAGAATCACACCTGGACTTTCGCTTTTGATCAATGTGGAACTCCAACTGTAATTCTGAAAATGTGTCGGCTTTCGTTTTCAAAAATCATTATGGGGAATTTTAAGAAACAGACTCTACAGCTAATTGACTTTATTTAAATGATATCAAAATATGTTCTACTTAATATTCTACTTAAATTCACATTTCATACTTTCTAACCTCGCCTAGTCGTTTCAGGAAAACATTTGAAATCCATATGTAAAACCAAATTTGGTTTTATATATGGATGTTTGTTTTTCTGTTTGTTAACAAAACAAAATATGAAGTGACGAAGCATATATTTAAAACCCTTTAAATATAGTATGAACTTTTAATAATCTTTTAAGTTTACGATGTTTTAATTACCCGGAAAATGGTTGAAAATGACGAGGACAAAAGGTATTCATCGATGTAATAATAGTTATATATTTAGCTGAATTGATGTCAGAGTTCATGAAGTGCTTTTTTTATCGACTCGAAGTTTACATGGTATCATGAGAAAATCTATAAATAGCGAGGTTTAAAATATTCTTTACAAATCAAATACAAAGATACAAACAATTACAATAATTCGGACTGGTCATGATAAACTGTTAAATATCTGAAACGAAACGAAAGTGTTGTACGTGTTTCTTACAAGAAAACAAGAGAATACTTCTTTATTTAATTGAATACAATCTTAACTGTTATGTTGATCCAGAATAAAAATATTTTCATTTTGAAAAAACAAAAAAATGTGTGTAAGGAATTTGCCTGTTGGTGCAAAATTATAAACGATATGGTGTAAACAAAATCAGTCCTTGCTAATCATAGTCTCCTTTCGGTTCACAAGATAAGTTAAATAGATAATAGTAATAGATAATAGGTATATTATATTTCATTAAGGGGGTGAAATGCATTGTTTTGTGGACACACTTCATTTCATTGAAAAACAATTACAAAAACTAAATGCATACCCTGCTTCTTTAATTTTTTAACGTCCGTTAGCTTGCTCAAGCCTTTTACATTTTTGATTTGTCAATAAGTCGATATTTTGGGGACATAATCCTGCTTTCAATGCCCAAAAGACATTTTTATGATTAACAAACGATTATCATCTTATCATTATTTAAACAAATAACAACAAAAACAAATATTAATAGAGATGTGGTAGTACGAATGTCACATTAATGATAATTTATCAGTGCCAATCATTCCGAAGAAAGGTATAAAACAAATCGGAAAAATAGTGCAGGACGATAAATGAGAATCATTGCATGAATGCAGGTCTGTACAACTTGTAGCATAATAAGCTGATGCCACTCGCCTGGAAATTAGAAGCGTAGTCACAGATGCAGTTGTTTGTTACAGACGGAATAACTTACTTGGTCTGTTGACGTAGTAAATCCAGCGTCGGCTGTCTCGCTATGGCTACGTAAGCAATAGTTCTACTCAATGAACGGCGCTCAATTTATGCGCTGAATACATATATGGCGATGATGAATTTGCTGGAAATCCACTTCTATAAATAGGTGGGTTATTCCTTGAAATATATATAGTGTCACGCAACACGGGGGAGAAATGTCATTACGCGTGTGTTTAAAAGTTTGCTACAGAGGAACAGGCAGATATACCGTGTTGTCACTCGTTTATCTGTCCGTATGTACACTTCTACGTTAGACTGTACGACGATAAAAAGGCAATTAATTCAATCTCAACGAAACTTAGTAAAATTATTGACTTGAAGAGCACAAGTTCTACCGATTTTTAAGGACAAATGTGACGTCATGGGAGCATGCTTTGACTGTATACAAGCAGACTAAGGTTACGTTATAGGTGCATGCAATGACTGTGCCTACATGACACAGATTAAATCATGTGTGCATGCTGTGAACATCTTCTTTTGAATGACCAAGATGCCTAAAGTAATGATATTTGGCCAGTAGGTACCTCGGATAGAGTGCTATAAATGTCCTCAAATAAAGTGAATTACCGTGTGATCTTACAGATGTGATGTAAAGGTGTATGGTATATAGTGAATTACCGTGTGATCTTACAGATGTGATGTAAAGGTGTATGGTATATATTGAATTACCGTGTGATCTTACAGATGTGATGTAAAGGTGTATGGTATATACTGAATTAACCTGTGATCTTATATTTGACAGGCCATGGGGAAGCCTGCTGATGTGATGTACTGTGAGGATTTGCTACAACAGACTGGGATATGTGTGGTTCCTGGATCTGGATTCGGACAGAGACCTGGCACATATCATTTCAGGTCAGTTTATAGATGTACTATTTGAAATGTACACCTCTGCGATTTGTAGTGATTTGTGTGTCATTATTTGTATTTAAATCAGGAGATAAATTCGGTTAGTTAGTCTGTTTGGTACCTAATCTTGATTGCCATTTTTGCTTAAATATTTGTGTGTCCCTAAAAAATGTAAAAAAAAAATCATTTCACTGAAAATCTTACAAACAAAAAAAGATATATTTTGATTTCGGATACTTGACACATAGCAGTGCTTGCTACTTCTCCTTTCCTGCACTCTTTCTACTTTCACGTTTCACATATTCCTCCTCCGTAACAATGGACTGTATTCCTCCTCCGTAACAATGGACTGTCACTGGTGGACCCTTACCGTGTATTTTTTTCATTTTCTCGTTTAATTTTCAAAAATCGTTTAGTTGTTCTCTTTTTGGGTGTATTTTTTGGATTATAGTTTATATTTGACGAGTCACCGTTTATTGTTTAAACCGACGTTTATTCTTCGCAGACTTGTGTTTAGTTTTGAGTATAACAGTTTGTTTTTAAAACAGAGTGTTTGTTTTATAAATGCATGTTAACTTTTCACGGAACAGAGTTTGTTTTATAACTACATGTTTACTTTTCTTGGCCCAGTGTTTGTTT